ACGGGCGGATGTGGAAGATCGAAGAGACGCACTTTGAGAGACCGTATGTGCCCGCATATCTCCTGTCCGTCGCCGTAGGTCGTCTTGTCTAGCAGTTAACCGATGATGGCTTCTCGGTTTATAGCTTGCCGAGGGCACAGGACACGACGGGTTCCTGGAGCGGCTCCTTGGACAGCGCACAGGAGTGCCATCGAGCGCGGGTCTGATTCGCCTGATCCGCTTGCTCTGCCTACGGCAACGACGAGACAACGACTTGAGTCAGCGAGGGACGGGGATGAACGAAATCGGCCGCGGTACCTTTGGCTTTGTGCGTACGAGATCGCGCCGATCTGGAATACCTCCTCCATCATCTCCCATGACTCTGGCACCGTACCGTAGGGTAGAAAGAAAGGAGGGAAATGGTGATTGGAGGAACGAGCGAAGGTCGGGTAGACAAAGAAGTGAATGCCTGCACTCGTCGTCGTGTTAGAAAGCTAACACTTAGATAAGAACGGGATAGCAGGGGATAGCGCAGTCTCTGCAAAGCAGCACGTGACCGTACCTTTCGCTCTTCACTCCTCACCGACGTTGGTTTGTTTCTCTCTGACCTCGCTGCCACGTACGTGCTGCCCCAACGGGCCCATGGAGTAACCGGCAACCTGCGGCCGCTGTTCTCTGCGAGCATGGTGGAACCGTCCCCGGAGGAGCTCACGGCGCGGCCGGACGACTATGGATCATGGACGGCGAACAAGAAACGGCAGTGGACGAATCAGTATCGGAAGGCAAACCCGAGGCTGAAGGATGCAGCTGAAGATCCAAGCGGTAGTCGCACAGGTGCGTCCACGGCTGAATCTCGGGCTCCATTGCATAGAACTTACTGACGCGTGATACCCGCAGCGCGTGCTAGAACAGCCAAAGATGCGGCACTGGCAAATCCAGGTGAGCGCGTGTCTTCCTATCGGCCCGGCAAAGCTCATCGGCAACAAGTGTGGGTGAACAAGAAGGCGCGGAAGGCAGTTTCGGAGACAATGCGTGCGGAGGACATCAGGCAGAAGCGCAAAAGGAACGGTCAGTTGTCTACTACCCATATCTTCTCCCTACTCATGATTTTCCTTTCAGATAGCACCGGCAGCACCAACACGAGTCCGCCGAAGAAATCGGCAAAATCAATCGGTGACAACCGTCGCTCGCCGCCCGAGTGACGAGCCACTGAACTACCCAACAGCACGCCGGTTTCCAGCAGCATCGGTGCATAGGCGCGAGGGAAAGCAGAGTAGAGACGAAGAGACACGCAGCAGAAAATGTGTGTTTCGCCAATGTCGTGCTACGATGATCGTACTGACCGTGTTTCCTCAAATGTTTAGCACTGGATATGGTCAACGACGACCTCGACGATACCGATATATCTCCAAGTAACGATGATGAAGAGGGCGAGGAGGAAGTGGAGGCCGACGATGAAGACCTGGAAGCGCTACAGGCGCACCCAGAGAAGCTTCGCCAGAAGCTCAGATCCGAGGTGTGTTATTCTTTACAACACGTCGCGAGCGCTGATGGTTTCATTAGCGGCCACAGTTCGTCAAGAACAACAACTCAAATACCTCGTCATCGGGTGCGGCTGCGAAGAAATCAAAGGCGACGACCCTCCTCAAGACTGGATTGTCGATCACGCCAGACTCGCAAATCCTCGTTGAGGAGGGACGCGGTTCCGGTTCTTCGCAACGCAGTCAAACATCGAAGGTTTGCCCATGCACGATGCGTGGACTGGATGGATTGACTAATTGGTGCCAACAGGGGAAGAAGGCACCTTTGCGGCCCATCACCAACAATGACCATGCTTCCAGCGGCGACGACGACTTTCGCCAGAAGACCCGAGAAGAGGATGGGGACACACGATCCCAGCATCCGTCGCATAGCCCCATCGACGACAATGATGACGATCATGGTCGGCTCGATCACGATGGAGGGGACAACGGTTGAGTTGCTGCCCATTGTATGTTTGAGGCTGCGTAGCTGACTCCATCATGGGACCACTCGCAGGTCTATCCGAAGGCCGTCTTCGTCATCGTGATGGCTCACACAACTCAACGGTCCATACCGACCGGGACTCTCGTTCATATAGCAAGCGAGCTACTTCGCCATCGAGTGTGGCTGCGAAGAAATCGAAGGCAACGACCCTCCTCAAAACCGGATTGTCCACAACGCGAGGCTCACAGACCACCATAGCGGAGCGAGGCGGCACCGGTTCTCCGCAACGCAGCCGAACGTCTAAGGTTTGCCCGTGCACGATGTACGGACTGGATGGGTTGAATAATCGGTATCAACAGGGGAAGGAGAAGGCACCTTCGTGGCCCATCTCCAAGGATGAAGATGCTTCCAGCGGCGACGATGACTCTCACAAGAAGACCCGAGAAGAGGATGGGGACACACAATCCCAGCATCCGTTGCATAGCCCCATTGACGACGACGCTGACGATCATGGCCGGCTCGATCACGATGGAGGGGACAACGGTTGAGTTGCTCCCCATTGTATGTTTGAGGCCGTGTAGCTGACTCCATGGGACCACTTGCAGGTCCATCCAAAGATCGCCTCCGTCGTCGCAAAGGCTCACGCAACTCAACAACACTTACCGACCGGGACTCACATGCCCGTAACGAGAAACAGGCTCCGCCCAACGGCGACACAAAACACCAGCATCGTTTGGCCTCCAAACACGGCAGCATGGCCAACACCACCAACAACGAGGACACTTCGGAGATTTATGTTTCCGTTACGCTGTCCAACCGTTGGCCCTCGTATACCAACGTGCGGACGAAACCGGGTGGGAAGCCTGGATTGGATGATCAACATGCGGAGCTTCAGAGGGTTGTGCGGGCTGCCATGAACACCTTCTTCGCCTATCTTGTATCGGTGAATGCATATCCGGACCCCGCTACGCGTTCGGCCGTCATCAAGGGTTTGCTGAAGAGGGCCGCGGCGAAGTTGGGTGAAGCACAGGTGGCCGACCGTATCAAGCACGACCACTCGGAATGGATGAGGCTTGTTATTGGCTTGGTACATATAACTACTTTTCCATTGCCGGTGCTAACATGATTCTCATTTAGGTTGAAGGTCGTGTGTCGCAATTCCGTAGCAAGATCAAAAAGGCGGCCAACGAATATGTGCTCCACGACTACGACATCACCGACGGATGTGGTCCCCGTGCAATAGCATGGTCGCAGGACAATGCCTACATTTTTCCGGGTGATGTAGAAGTTTGCGCATCTTTTTGTTTACGACTGAACTGCTACTGATATGTATGCTATAGGACCCAAGCAGTTTGAAGAAGGGTCAGCCATATGGCCGTTCAATCTTTGCGAAGGTAATCCGTGAGGCATTCTTCAGTGGACGAAAGCCCCTCGCAACGAGGAATCCTGAGATCTTCGGAAATGAGGAAGAGGAAGACCTATCTATCCCTCTCGCAATGCTGGCCTTTGCTGCCGTTGGGGTTTGTAGAGCTCCCGCTTGTCTGATCGCGTGCTGAAGGTGTACACAGATTCTTGCTGTCATTCAAGATTGGGCAACCGGCGAGAAGAAGCACAGCGACTTTGCACAGGATACCTTTATTAATACATATAGCAATCATATGGCCACCCTTGAGGGTCTCGAGAGGGATAAGCCCCGTTATTTCACTACACTAATGACAGATCTTTATGCAGCCGCTTCGTGAGTGGATTGCTCTGTCTACAGATTCATGACTAACAAGATCCTGAAGTGGTAATACTAACCAGGGAGGTACTGCTTTCAGTAATGTAGATATGGATGCGATAGAATCTTAATAATAATTCATGTTGCTTTCTTATAATGAGCCCTGAGACATGAGGGATAAATGTGATCCCAGTTCTGTCCAATTGCATCACAGATACAGCTAATCTCATGTATCATTGACCTAAAAGTAGACAGTTGATACCAATTCAGTTAGCTTTCGAAAAGAAATAGACAGTGCATAGCGTACAGTACCTTGGATTAGTCTAAATTAGCTGATTTATGTTCCTCCCAAGGCGGATGCTTAGGCACTAATTATTCTCGATTATCTCCCATTATCACTCCGTTACCGAGGAATACTACTAATTGACGAGGGACCTGTTGAATTTAGATAATTGGGCATAATCCACCTACTTTGTTACATTGGACATGATTATCTCTAAAAGTCTCAAATCTATCCCAACTTGTGCTAATTTGCGCCATGGGGATGTTCCTGATGCATGCCCACGGATCTGCCTACGATGTGCCTATCCATTTATTCAACGTGAGCTCATGAACATTTTGACGGAAAGCTGATCATACCTTAGGCAGTGCACTAAGCACGTAAGACTTTCCGGTAACGCCTGGCGCAGGGTAAGATCATGCAGGATCGATGGATTGTACGAGCCTGTGTCGGGTCGGCACAGGAAGTCTGGGATTTTGCCGACAATGCAATGGGCTCGGCGGATGTATCGCTGAAAATTAGTAGCATCCAGCTCATGCGCCAATGCACACCACCTCATGAATTGGGTCAGCATGCGTTCGGAAGGCGCCCGATGCAGGTGATAGAATTGGTCTCTAATCCAATCCTTTATGACTTGAATTGCGCTGCGCGCTTCAGGAATGCTGTTGAGCATTGAGTTGGAGATGGAGCCCATTTCAGGCAGAGGCGGAAAGAAAATGTCGTATAGGTGTTCGAGCCATTCCCTAATGCACGAGATACAACCTCAGTGAGGCCAGTGCGTAAAACGTGCGAAAGGCGTACCTCTGATGCCTGCCCCTATCACGGTTTTCAAGCCGGCAGAACAGGACCTGCAGGATCGAGATTTGCTGCAAGTGTAGCCTCACTTGACTGTTGTACCATTGGTGATCCAGGGTCGCGGGATGGAGGCTCTGACAGTTCACTGCCTTGCAATTGTTCGTGAGGTGGTTGATACAGACAGAAAACACCATGCAATTAAAGCGGCATGCTTCGTCCAGGGCTGTGATCCGATCCTTGAGGCGATCCGTGAGGATTTTCTGGATAGCAGAAGATACTGTTCGACCCGATACATAACCGGCATCATTGGCTTGGAGGGCCGGTGTTTGATTCTTCGTGATCCAGTTACCCAGGTACGTGGTGAAGGGAACGAAATAATCGTTGCCCTCCACTCGATGATACCCAAATAGTTGTTGAATCCCAGCTTGGTCAACCTCAACACTGTGACCTGCGCCATGCTCACGAAGGAGTCGAGCATAGGCCAAGAAGTTTTGCAAGGCGGACAAACGTCGGAGGCGATAGCCTTCTGGATATGGGGTATGGAGTCGCAGACGTAATCAAGGGATAACAAAGCGGCCAGATTATTGTTTGTCTGTATTACGAACTTGTGAGCGAGTTGCTGGAGCCGAGCCTTGTCCGAGTTTGCGAACGCATGGAACATAGATAGCTGCAAGGTCTCGCATTTTAGGGCCCGCTCTTTCATTAAAGCATGTGAGCTCACCTCATCAGCTTGCTGTTCATCAATGACCGACATGTTTAAACCTGCGCTTAAGGATAGGAACTGCGATAACATCTGTCCTGGCTCTTTTGTAACGGAGAAGGCTCCGAATGGTGACGAGGACCATAGATTCTGAACGAGACACGTCGCAGCTCGCGTAAGAGCTCCACGATTGTCAGGATCGGATGTCAAAAGACGAATGGCGTCCAAGGGACGACCTGGTGGCGGCCGATCAGTACAGTCGACAATGCCAACAGGATATTCCCAACCTTCGATAAGATGTAATTCTGCAGCCTCGATGACCCTACTGCTTGACTCCAGTAGCTGTGCGCGAGCTGTATCAAACCCGAAATCCTCAACAAACTCGAGTTTATCTTCCTCTGAGTCAAAAAGCTGGGCCGCTTTGCTGCGGCGTATTTATCAACACAAGGATGCCTCAGAATGATCAAACCGGACCACGCACTCGAGTTCATCCATCTCGAAGTAGTGTATTTTTGCAACGTTCACTATCTTCTCTGCGACAGCTGGCAGCACCCTCGCATTGGGATCTTGTATAACACTGACTGCGTCGTCGAACAGACCGGCATATCGGAAATGCTGGGCAGCAAGGGTAAATTCTTGAGCATGTCGATATGCCTTCGCCGCACTGGCGTCGTCATCTGCCTCGCCAAAACACGACCCAGCTACTTTGAAATATGCGAGCTTTTCCGAGTCCTTGGTGGCTTTCTTGGCGCAGCTCGTGAATGCGCGTGCCGCTTCAGCAAATGCCTCCTCCCTCAAATTAGTAGGTTTCTGGTTCTCGCTGGGCGTCGTGCGAGCAGTGTCCCGGAGGTGATACGCACGCGAGACTGAGGCTTCTCGGTGCATATTTGCTCGCTCATAAGCATACGTGGCCTGCATATAGCGTTTATTGCTGAAAAGCTCCTTAGCAGTTGTCGCCCACTCCTCTAGGGGTGCCTGAGTGACGAAGCGCCCAGCAAGGCAACAGAAAAAAGCGACATACCTGCTGTTGACGAATTGGCAAGCCGCTCTACGGTACTAGGAGCACGGATTTGTACGAGATTGCGACTAGTCCACAGCAGCTGGTGGTATGGGGTCATTCCCAAAGGACCATAGAGTGTATGTTCTGGAAACTCACCCTCATAGGCTCCCGGCGCTCTGAGCAGTCAACAACCCAAAGTTTTTTTCGGGCTCTAGTGACTGCCACGTAGAGAAACTTAAGCTGTGCAAATTCAGTTCTGGTGAGCTTCAGTACATCACTCATTTGAAACAAACGGACCTCCATGCAGACTCCTGCGTGCTTTATCTCGTCGAAACATGGAACAGCTACGTTGTGGAGCGCATAGGGGTCCACAGCATTGAGGATGACGCGCCATCGAGCCGCATCCACAGTTGAGTCTTCGAAGAAGTTGTAGAGAAGAACCTAAAGCATTGATGCTAGACTAAGCCACTAACTGCCATCAGTAGCGGAATAGAATCTCTTACATCGTTGAACTCCAAACCCTTGGACTCAGGTATTGTCCTGGCAGACATTCTCAACCAAGATTCATATCAACGAGATAAACAGAGACTAACATGATCAACCCAACATCACCGGCGCGAGTGCGCAGTTTGTCTCTCGCAGCGTCATCACGAACGAGGATACCTTAGTTACATTAGATGAAGGGATAATGAATATGAACTTCTGAACTCACATTGTTGGGCACCAAACTCTATGGGTGCGCGGCTGTAATGCGAGATCAGGGGGATGACAGCCCGACATGCAATACCACTCACGAGTCACCAAAAAGGAACTGCTCGTAATGAACTGTATCATCTTCCGACTTGTGGAAGAAGATGGGTTTCAGGCCGTCAATGACACCGTGTTCCTCCTCCAGCACGTCAATGGCGTACGGCCAAAGTTCCGTAATAATGCGGATGATTGACTACGATGCGTCTTGGCGAGGATATAAAGGAGATGAGCACATGTCGCACCGATGCACATTTGACGATACCCCCGTGTGATCGATAGTTCACGAGTAACTGGAACGACCTGGGTTGCATTGCGGATGCTAGTGCGACGCGATTTGCCGCCGCTCGACTGCGTTCCTAGATGATATCATCAGTAAAATCACATTAACACCAGTCAAGTTTTAACCTCGACTCGGTACATGAATGCCTTCAGATCATTAAACTTGAAGGCGCTCCTGACAGAAATGATTTGAGCCATGTCCCCAGCGAAGAATAGTCCGTCAGAGTTTGAACATAACATGCGTAACACTGCAAAATGAGTTCAAATGACATATAGTGACTCGATGAGGCTCACGTAGTACGTCAATCAGGAGATTGTCCTAATTATTCGTTTCTGTTCAGTAATCACGGGTATTATCATAAATCTTTTTTGACTCGTACCTGCACTTCATCCACGTAGCTGAACCGTACTATTGAGTTCGTTGGAATCGTCACAGGAAGTCTAGTCACTCACAGATAATGAAATTTCTTGAAATCATCCTTCTGTTTCTGTAGCGCAGCAAGGAGGTGCTGCATTCTGATATGCAAGTTATAACATCCAGGTGGCATTCATAGCGGGGTAGAGGGCTTACCGATCTGTGGCATCATACTGCCCAAGCTGAACACGCCGCTTTGTGTACGCTTCAAAAAGAGAGTATATTCTCCTGCGGTGACGAGCGAACGTGGACTGCGACCAACCAGTGAGATTCTCGTAGGTGGTGAGGTCGAGGCTTGAGCGTTCATTCAGAACGGTCTGCTCAGACCCTTTGATAATCCCTACGATGACGTCAGCACAACATCTTGTCATTCCTGTTGCAAGGCGTACCCAGAAACTCGCTAAAAACCAATGCAGGGTCTGCAATGAAATCAATACTCGCGTAACTGCAAGTGGTTGATGTTCCGCACCAAGACCCTTAGTCAAGGACTGTGGAAAATGGGACCAGTAAGACCCCAGAAAGACATGATAAGAGACAAGCGAATTTCGTTTCGACAGCATGTGTTTGCTGGAGCGTGTCTGTTTCTCGTCCACTAGCCTGGGGATAGTGTCCTGCAGTTCCGAGTTGAAGTCGGCTTCGAGCAGCTTACACAACTGAAAAGAGGGTCGGCATGAACGAGCGAGGGGAGCAGACACAGCTTAGACCGGATGCAAGGACACACCTTATCATAGGTAATGATCAAGGGAAAATGCTCGTCGCCAAGCTCGCTGAAGCGCTTAGGAAGATCGCCCCTCCAATTTTCTTCGTCATCGATGTCGACGAGATCATGATCGTACCCTGCACAGATAGCGGAGAGCTTTTCCAGCTCCTTGGCTGGTTGGGCACCCACAGCAAGGGAATTCAACATATTCCGCAAGTTTTCTTCCACCTTCGTGGCGAGGACGCGCGATTGAGTGACGAAGACTTGGCGCGGTCGAGACATAGATTCTTTGTGCAAGTGCCACATTCTCTCGAGCCCAAGAATCTTGAGGAGCATGGTAGTGGTCTTCCTGAAAATTGAAGTACCTCAATTTACTGCGATACAGTCCTTAGACAGATTTCAGCGCTCACCCTGTACCACTACGACCAATGACATAGCAAGAGTACGGATGTTCGATTATCTCCTGTTCTTGGGAACTGACCGCAAAAGGATGTACAACATCCCGATTCGCCAGGATGCCTGCAACGAAGTTGAATTAAAGGGTGTAAGACTACCCCTCAGAGAACGTACTGTTAAGGAGAGCCTAGTTTGATTCATCAGTACTCAATCTTATGGGTAAAGCACATATATGTCTCACCTGCGAGAACGCCACAAACTTCTCCAAACTGTTGCGTTCTGATTCAGCGGAGTCCCGCGCTCGAAGGCATGAACGATACATACACCAGTATCTCATGCAACTGATTTGTGAAGCGTTAGGACATACATACGTTCCAAAATCAATCGGCATACCTTCCCCAGGACCTTTTCCTCAATGTTGGGTAGCTCATGAACCAGCGACGTAACTATGGCCTCGGGAGCGGAGAACGAGGGTGGCATATACTTGTGGCCTCCCTTCGTCATCGGTTTCACGCGATACGTACATCTACATCGGAAAATTATCTTGTCACAACCGATTCGAGGCGCTGCAACATCTGGAGCCTGACCTGTCTATGTACTCTCTTCCGCCTTTCTTCGCCAGCTGGCTGCCGGCCAAGTTCCAAAACCATCGGTCCGGCTGAGCATGCGTGCATATCTCAAAGACTTTGATCACTGTTACGACGCCATGAGCGAGGATCCGAACAACGGCTGAGCACGACTCAAGTTGTTCATACCTTGATGCTCGCCCTACAAGGTGGAGAACGAGAGATCCGACGATCAGTATCATGACCAGTCGTCATGAGGAAGTGGACATACGTCGGTACAGAACTCAGGAACGCAGTCGATTTGATACTATAAACATGACTTCAAACAATGGAGCTTCGTAACAACGTCAGTTATCACGTACAACGAGACACGGACCCCTTGTCGTCTCCGCTTTGTAAATAGGGATTTCGATATCCGGGTCGTTCAGACGTTTCTGGTTGTCCTCGGTAAAATTCCCCGTCGACAACTCCCTGGAGAAAGGCCGGTCACTTTGTGTGTGCTCCGAAAAAGCGAGTGGCACTTACTTGATCTTCTTGGCAATGACCCTGAAAGTCTCCCAGTCCTCTACTCTCGTCTCACGCAGCTTCTTCACGGCCCCTGACGACACCAAAATGCGCCACTCGCCGAAAACCTTGACGCTATCGAGGTAGAGCGCGGCCTTCATTGGCTGCATCATCGGGTACGGAACTGGCGTTTCAGGTTTGTTTGCAATATCCGTGCGAGTGAACTCCGACGGAACCATGCGCGCATCGGTGTTCGCGGTGGATTCGGGCTGATGCGGATTCAACAACGCTTCATTGATCGCACCGAGGAGGGCGTCGCGTGTTTGAGGAAAGCGTACGATCTCGAGATACCACTAAGAAACAGAATCAGTGCGCATGTTCCGCCAAGAAGATGTGATAGTGGGCCTTGACCGTGAGTGATTGCTTGAGTTCTTCTAGCACGCCTCGACTCAACGCATCTGCCTCCTTACGGTTCTGCGGCACGGATACCCCTAACTCGCGAAATGCGGCCAGCTCCGACGCTGTCAGGTTCGGTCCCTGGTCGATGGCTTTCTGGTGCGGTCGTTTCCCACGTTTCTGCTTGTTCTCTCTCTGCGACTTGGGCTTTGGCACGACATTCACGCCTAGGGACTTATTGTCGTCGTCGTCGTCGTCATCGTCGCCGGCGACCTCAAGGAGCATGTCCTCAGGACTGTTGGAATACCCTCGCGTGTATGGTGCCGGACCGGATTCGGGGAAAGTCGTAATGGATAGCACCTCCAGGACAGGAGATGCGGCTTTGATATGATCCGCGCGCTGACGGAGGTCGTCGAGCGACTCAGCGTCGGTATCGCCATCGGTCAATGTGCACAGGTCGTCTGAGAGTTCATCGAGAAGAGGTTGCCACGTTCGCGTGAGGAACGCGCCGGCGTTGCTCGGAAAGTGGCCAAGGAGCCACTTTCCGAGGAACGTCGAGGGCCTTTGGTCAAGAGCTAACCGCCGAGAACATCCATCAACTCATCTTTGCCTCATGCAAGAGAAGCAGCCCGAACTAAGCATCAATATCGACTTACCGCTCAAGACGTACTCCAGAAGGTAACGATGACGGCGCGTTGCTTGCACCCATTCTTCGACGACGCATCGGACGATACCATCGGCTTCGGCGTGCGCCTTCGTCGCGTGCAACAGCATCGCGTTGGATTTTCGGAGTTGTTCACTGTACGCATTCATGGCAAGATCTGTTAACGGTTCAATGGTTTGTGAAGGTAGGGATGAAGAGGGAAAGAGGGGCAACGTGTGAACGAGGGGGCAGGCCGGTATTTATACTTGCTTACAGTTGCAGTTTTGAGTTTGGAAGGCCCGTAACCCTGAAGAGTTAATGCGCCGATATAGCTTGCGACCCTGAACCTTGGTCCTTGGCCGCTAAATTACAATGCCGCATAAGTACATCTTGGTTCTGAGTAAAACACGGTCACGTCGCCGATGGAGCCGAGTGTGACTGGCACGCTTTCATACATATGCACGAATATTTGCGGCGAAGATGACTCGCGCAGTAAACCAGAAGCAGTGCGTGGGGCAAGGGCGTGGCTGCGGGAAGGAACAAGCAATGTTGTTGCATGTTGTGGTATCGTATAGGAGTACTAACTACCCTTTGAGACAGTATGTAGTGTAATGGCGTCAGAAGGCGCTCGCTGCCTCCCTTCTAGACTTCTTTCTACACATACTAAGTTACTAAGCAACGAACTGGTGAGCGCTTACGCCATTCTGAGCTTCCAGGAGGGGCCGTCCTCACCTTCAAAGCTTCAACAGTAGACCACCGACGACTGTGTATTTAGTCTTCGCGCGACGCCCGTGTCGACGACCACACACCCGGCCCGAATCCAAGTGCAAGCACTACGGTAAATCGATACTAGCACCCGTGTCCAAAACGCGCATCGGAGACGCATTCCCGTCCCAAGGCGCAAAGCTCGCCGCCGTCCAGTAACCCAGTTCCCCACCCCAGCCGTCGACCCGTACGACTTCCTCGTCCGCGTCGTCTACGTCTGCCCCACCCATGCTCGACGTTTGGCAAGGTTAATTCGAACTCGCAGCGGAATACCCGGTCGTTCCGGCGGACCCCGGCGGACAACGTGTACGGCGTCGCGGCGAAGGTTGGAGAAAACGTGAATCACGTCACCAAGGGAGGTGAGCATATATGTGTGGTTACTGTTTCGGGACGTTGAGTAGACAACGATCAGGCTCTGTACTTCACCTTCGGCCCCAACGAAGGTCGCGGCTCACAGGAGTTCGCGCTCATCCCCACAAACCGTATCGTCAAGGCAAGCTCACTCTCCCCGACGAATCCCCGACACGGCGAAGCTGAGGGGCGGACCCTCCAGCGTGGGCCAGCACGTCATCTAGGTACGCCCCCTCACCAACTGACTCCACATTTATACCTGGGCGAACACTAAAACACGATCATGCAGCTCCTCGCCCTAAGTGGATACGCGAACGTCGTCGCCGCGTCGTCGACGTGACACCACGCCGCCTCCTCGCGCTCGGCGCCCCCCCCCCCTGCGCCGCGCGTTGGACTACACCGCAACGTCCTCGGAGACATCGGCGGCGCCGTCGACTAAGTGCTCGACGCCATCGGTGACCGGCAGGAGACGATCGCCAAGTACTCCCCGCTGGCCAAGCCCGGCGCCCGGGTCGCGATCCTGCTCCCCATCCGCTACGGCGGACGCGCGGCCAACAACGTGGGCAGCGAGCTCGACGAGGGCGCGTTCGCCCCCGGCATCCACGTCCGTCTCGTCCGCACCCACTTTTACTAGAAGGTACCGAAGCTCTCCCGCGTTTTTCTTGCAGACGCTGACTGGATATGTCTCCGCAAAAGAACGAGTGGTTCCGTGATCACCTGCAGCCGGAGCTGCTGCCCGCGTTGCTCGAGAAGGGCCTCATCAAACCGAACAAGATTCGCGTCGTCGAAGGATCCACGCCTCTAGAGCGCCTCCAGAACGCGATCGATTCGCTCGCGAACGGGGCCGTCAGTGGGGAGAAGCTGGTCGTCCGCATCGGAGAGGATTGATATCGCAGTCGTGGATGTCGTCGGCTACCGATCTGTCAGCGTTGAATCACTCGTCCCCTCGGAAATTCGACCTGGAGCCGTCCATGGACAGGGATATGGTCGATAAATCACAGCCAGTCATATTGTTCAACACCGACAGACAAAGCGAATACACCTTCGTACTATATCAGTCTCGACTAGTTCCGTTACTTGAAGTACGCTTCGGAAATGCCAGGCTAATCTTCGTCGTAACGACCGTGCGCTTCGTTGTAAAGATCATACGCATCGTCAATCTGAACGTCCGGCTTCTCTGGTTTAGCTGGCGGTGGTTTGGGCGGTGTGACGATACCCTTCACAGCGATAGCCAAGTCATCCTCGACCTCGACCAGACTAGTACTGTTGGCCGGCAGCGACTTGGCGAGCGCCTCGACCTCCTTGACAAGCGCTTTGAGCTGTTCTGAATCGCGCTGCAGATGGAAAGCCGCTTCGGGCCTTAGCGCGTCCTGTAAGCGCTGCGCGGTTTTGCGATAGTTGCTAACACAACGCGGGTGAGCATACATCTGAGATGGCGGTGATGGAGGGCTTACTTCATCAGGGTCTGCCGGTCGAAGAGATCGTCATACTCCTTGTGGCTCTTGCCTGTCTTCGCTTTGATTCGTCTCTTCGCGTTCTCAGCCCAGCTCTGGACTTTCTTGAGGTACACGAGCACGTGCGGCAAGGGACCCAGAAACAGGTGGCGGTAATGTGTATATTGCCAATCCATCTTGCGGCTCTGCTCCAGGCACCGGGAGTAGAATGTTGATCTCGCTTGGTCATTGGCGTCCGGCGCATGCTGACGGTGACGGAGTTTTCGACGATATATTGCCTGGACTATACGAACATATTCCAGCTCCTTGTCGGAAGGTCCTTCGACCAGGGCATCGGCAGGGGCGTCATCGCTCAACTGCGTCGCTATGGCCTCCGCGTCGACCTCGGGCTCATCTGGTGATAAATCTTGTTCATCGTCCGCATCGTGCTTGTCGTCTGATATGCCCTGAGCCTTCTGCTCGTCTGCTTGAATCTTCTGCAGCATCGCTCGGACAGATTCGGAGTTGGAGACGAAGGGCGCAGCCTCTCCCCTAAGAGTCGTCCCGGTGCCGGAATCGGTGGTCAAAGTCAACAATTGTGGAATCTCGACGATCGCGCTGTAGATCACCCGCCGCACGTTCCGTGGAGGAGGATCGCCAGCAACGGAACGGCTGGCATGGTACAACTGAACGAGGCCATCCAATGGCGTAAGCGGTATTTGGCGAATGACTCGTGCGAGGCCGGACCAATCTCTTGCACTGAAGTATCTATAATGCGGAGGTCTCAGGACACGCCCGTATAGCGAGCTTGGGGCTTACTCGTCGCAAAGAGGAATCACGCGATTTCCTCGACATGAACTAAGCGCCATTACAATCTTAGCTCTCAGCGCATCATGTCGGACGTTATACCCGACTGTTGCATGATATATGTTATCCATGGATTGGGCGAATTGGAAGACTGGGCAAACTCACGAAGGCACATGCTTTTGCACCTGCGGGAGGGCATGTCAGAAATCGACTAAGCAGATCAGCCGCATCCAAGTAATGACGTACACCCGCGACATGAATGCGCCTCTAACGGCCAACCCATAATCACCCAAAGGGCGGCGCTTGAAGAGAAGATTCACTGTTTAGGTGCTGGTCAAGGGCAATCATATTTACGCATGCAGGTAACGTACTCGTTGTAGTTGACAATTGCTGCAGTAGGTTTCGCATGCAGTCGACAAGAATGAAGGTTAAAGACATTGAGAATTGCTTCGCGGCGAGTTCAATCAAATGCTTCGAAACGCGGACCAGCCAGCTGTATGGCATGGTTACGTCGTGCAACGGGGGCGTCGAACCAATTCTAGCAAGCACTACCGAGTATGTGCAAATTTGATCGATGAAAGCACACAGGATGGAGATGTCGATGCTGAGGGGAGTTTCGACTATGTGCCTGTGGGTTTCGGTCAAGAACAAAACGGGCATCAGAGTTTGAATCATTTCTCACTTGAGACAAAGAACAAGACATATCCAACTTGCTGAGGATGACTGGCGGACGGTGAGATCATAGAATATCGATGCCTTCGTCGTCTTCATGTCCCGGAGGAACAAACCAGGTACATCATTCTCTAGCAACGGCGCTCGGAAAATGTAAGTTGGCGCTTCGGCACGATCAAACTCATAGGCCAAGGAACATAGTCTCATAAATTGGGTGAGAATACGGTCTGGAGGGGCTCGATGAACTTGGTAGAACGATTCTCTGATCCACTCCTTCACGATTGGCAGGGTGGTTTTTGCTTGGGGAATGCTGCTGAGTGACAGGTTGGCGGGTGATCCCATTTCGGGCAGAGGCGGGAACAATGAGTCATACAAACGTTCGAGCCAGTCCCTACAAGCACAATGATCAGTTTCTATGAGGATCTCACGAGGAGTCGATGGAGAATACCTCTGGTACATGGCTCGTTCGCGATCTCCGAGCCGACAGAACATGAGTTGCAAGATGGAGATGTGCTGGAGATGAAGTCCGATCTGAGTGTTATACCAGGAACGGTCCATTTTGACTGGGTGTTGTCTCGCACATTCCACCGCTTTGCAACCAACGGTGACGTGATTGATGCAAACGGAGAATGCCGTGCATCGCGTACGACACGCTTCATCTAGGCTAGCGATGCGAATCTTGAGGCGATCAGTTAATATCCTTTGGACAGCGGATGCCAATGGTCGACTAGATACGCGATGACCAGCGTCGTCGGTGTACAGCACGGGTTGTGAGTTCTTCATGATCCAGGCGCCCAAGTACGTCGAAGAAGGTATGAAGAATACATCGTCCTCCATTGTGCGGTATCCAAAGAGTTGCTGAACGGCCGGTTGATTGATTTCCACGTGGTGTCCAGCACCTAACTCTCGAAGTAGCTGAGCATAGGCACGATAGAACTGCAGGACAGCCGACACATGAGACGGGGTTGCCTTCTGGATCCCTGCGGGGTTTGAACCGCAGATGCAGTCGAGTGAAAACAGAGCGGCCGGTCTGTTACCGGTCTGTATGTAGAACTTCTGCGCGAGTTGTTGTAGGCGTATCGTGTCCTCAGATGCAAGCGCGTGAAACATAGAGATCTAGAAACCCATCACGTTTTTAGACTTTTCTACAGGATCTTCTACAGGATCAGTGGTTGACTTGCCTCGTCTGCATGCTGCTCCGCAATAGCAGCCTTGTCAAGGCGACCAGACAATGCCAGGAACTGGGCCAATGACCCTCCGTGTTGGCCGACAACGGTGCCCAGTGGTGATGAGGTCCACATGCCTTGGACTAGACATGATGCTGCTCTTCTCAGGCTCTTCGGATTTGCAGAGTCAGTGAGAAACAAGCGGATTGCATCTAGAGGTCGGGCTGGCAGCGGAACATCAGTATAAGAGCACATCAAATCTGTTCGACGAGTTTCACTACCTTCGGCCAGATGCAGCTCAGCCGCCTCGAGTATGCGTCCTTTCGATTCCAAGAGCTTTGCCCGGGCGATGTCGAAGTCAAAGTCCTCAAGGAATTCAAGTTCCTCTTCGAAAGAGGCAAAGAGCGGGGCCGCTTTTCTAAGAACATCATGAATATATCATGCAACGGATGTGATGTAATGAGAGGACATACTCCAGTTGCTCGTTCTCGAAATAGTGTATGCGAGCAACGTTGACGATTCTCTCTGCTACCTCTTCTGCCACATCGTTTTTGTGATCCCGAATGACACTGATCGCATCATCAAATAGCCCGGCTTTTCGGAAATGTTGGGCAGCGGATGTATATTCGCGGGCGTGCAGAAAAGCTTTCGCTGCGCTAACATCGTCTTCAGCTTCGACGAAGCACTGTCCGGCAATCTTGTAGTATGCGATCTTTTCCTTGGTCGCTCCTTCTGCAGATGTGAGAAACGCACGTGCTGCCTTGGCAAATGCTTCCTTCCTAGCACGTGCAGCTTTGAGGACGCCAGTCGTCGTAGAGCGCGCCTTATCCCGAAGATGATACGCATGCGAGACCGCAGCCTCACGCTGCATCTCTGCACGTTCGTATGCATGCATTGCCTGCATAAACCGCTTGCTACGGAAGAGTGCTTCCGCGGCTGTTGCCCATTCCTCTGACCCACTATGAGTTACAGAACTCCTGGCAAAAGGACCTGACTCACCGACTGTCGACGAGACGGCGAGCTTTGGCACGTCAGTGCCGGGCGTACAACTTTGCACAAGGCCGCGACTGGTCCATAGCAGCTGAACGCGGAGTTAATGCGAGCATGTCAGCGTTGCGTTTGTGGCAACGTACCCTCATGGGCTCTCCACGCTCTGAGCAATCCACAACCCAAAGATTCTTGCGCGCCCTCGTCACCGCCACGTAGAGGAATTTCAGCTACGGAATGCTCAAATGAGAAAGTGTCGTTGCGTCCAAACTGAACCAACCTCGCTGCATATCCCCGCGTGTTTAATCTCGTCAAAACGAGGAGCCGCTGCATTCTGACGCGCATCCGGATCGACGGCGTTGAGAGTGACGCGCCATTGGGACACATCCACGGTTGAGTCTTCGAAGAAGTTATACAACAGGACCTAGAATACCAGAGTGAGACTGGTCGGTCCATCGATCACGATGATACGGAAACACGTGCATCGTTGAATTCTAGTCCTTTGGACTCGTAGAGTGTCCTACCGTAGAGCATGATTAGGGAACATTCACGCAGAACAAAGTTGTGAAGGCTGACATGATCAGCCCGATGTCGCCGACATCTGCGCGCAGCCTGTCTCTTGCGGCATCATCCCGAACAAGAATGCCTTCGCGAGGGTCAATATGTAATGATGAACATGGAATGATGGACCTACATTGCTGAGCACCGAATTCTATGGGAGCACCACTTCGGTTCCTAGTTAGAGTGTGTATCATACCGAAACGCGGCCACTCACGCGTCACCAAAGAGGAATTGCTCGTAACGAACTGTATCTTTGTCCCATCCGTGGAAGAAGACGGGCTTCAAGCCGTCGATGACCCCGCGCTCCTCATCTAACATATCGATGGCGTACGGCCAGAAATCGATGATAAGTCGAATGAGCGACTGCAGTGGGTTTTAGCGAGCAGACCATAGTAATACCGCATCCCGACGTACGGATGCACATTTGACGATACCCCCATGCGAACGGTAATTCACCAGCAACTGGAAGGAGCGCGGCTGCACGGGGGGAGCTGGTGCAATAGAAGTATTCGATGCCGCCCGGCTCCGTTCCTAGATCACAGGATCAGACCGATTCTTAACGAAGCGGATTAGGCACTACCTCAACTCGATGCATGAATGCCTTCAAGTCGTTGAACCGGAAGGCGCTGCCCACAGAAATCGTTTGAGCCGTATCCCCTGCGAAGAACAGCCCGTTTGAGTTCACGCATAGCATGCGCAGCACTACAAAGGTTGGGCTGGTTAGCTCTGGTGGCACACGACGGCACTGATGTACTTACGTAGGGCGTCTATAAGAAGATTGTCCTAGGTTGCCGTTCGTTGTGACTCCATCATTGCTCTCGATAACGGGTTTACTGTGGCTCCTACCTGCACTTCGTCCACGTATCTTTACAGGTATGGGTGAGCTCAGCGGCATCGGGTAAGGCTCTCTGCTCACAGGTAATCAATCTTCTTATGGCCGGCCTTCTGATTCTGGAGCGAGGCGATGAGGCGATGAGTCCTTACAGAGGTATCAGAGACAGCGTTCAACGTTTCAACAGAGCCCGGTCACCTGTCCGCAGCATCGTACTGCCGGAGCTGAATACGCTGCTTCGTATACGCTTCAAAGAGAGAGTATATTACTCCGCGCTGGCGTGCGAATGTTGACTGAGTTCGATGACTGAGGCTCTCGTATGCAGTGAGGTCGAGGCTTGAACGTTCACTAAGAACGGCTTGCTCGGACCCTTTGATGATTCCTGCGGAGACGTCAGCACGGTATCCTATGATTTCCGCTTGAATGGCGTACCCATGAACTCGCTAAAAACCAAGGCGGGATCTGTAATAACGATTATGTCAGCATTTGGACAGCTAGGGGCACTGCGTGTTGCGTACCAAGGCCCTTAGTCAAAGACTGCGGAAAATGGGACCAGTAAGATTCCAAAAAGACATGATATGAGACGAAGGAGTCCCGTTTCTGCAGCATGTACTCGTTCGAGTTGGTCTGCTCCTCGTCCACCAGCCGGTCGTTCATCGGCCCGATGTCCTGGATTGTCGTCTCGACGTCGGCCTCGAGCAGCTTACATAACTGGACAGAGTATCAACGGTGGTCACTGACGTGCGCGAGAGTAGGCGTAGCCCACCCCGAACATCGAGGGCATACCTTATCGTATGTGATGAACAAAGGAAAATGTTCATCGCGCAGCTCGCTGAAGCGCTTAGGAAGGTCACTCCGCCAGTTTTCCTCGTCGTCGAGATCGACTAGGCCTTCGTCGCGCCCTGTGCGGATCGTGGAGAGCTTCGACAACTCTTTCGCTGACTGAGCACCCGCGGCGAGGGAATCCAGCATCTTCCCGAAGTACTCTTCCACTTTCGTGGCGAGGACACGCGACTGGGTGACGAAGACTTGGCGCGGTCGAGGCATGGACTCCTTATGCAGATGCCACGTCCGCTCAAGTCCCAGCATCTTGAAGAGCATAGTGGTCGTCTTCCTGAAAGTGGGAGCATTTCAATGTACAGGAACATAACACGCAAGCGGATCGCAACGCTCACCCTGTACCGCTACGACCTATGACATAACAGGAGTGCGGATGCTCTATGATCTCCTGTTCTTGTGAACTGACCGCGAAAGGATGTACAACGTCTTGATTCGCGAGGAGACCTGAAACTAATTTCAACAAGTGAACATGACACGCTTAATCATGGAACGCACTGTTAAGGAAAGCCTATATCACTGGTTAGCAATCCATTCCGAGGGTGCAACATTTCTTCTTGACTCACCTGCGAGAACGTGACGAACTTCTCCAGACTAACATTGGTTTAGCGAAGGCGCGAATTCAAACACATAAAACACTTACACTAACAAAGCATGCAGCTGGACCGCGGGGCATTAGCAAATGGATCCTTGGTCCAGAAACGATTCACATACCTCGTCGAGATCCTCCGTCCGAACATTCGGAAGTTCCACAACCGGTCCCGCGACTACGGTCTCAGGAGCCGGGAAGGAGGCTGGCAAGTACACGTTGTCCCCTTTCGTCAACGGCTTCATGCGATATGTACACCTGCAAACAGAAACCAGCTTCAGCCTACAACGAACTCGGGCCGCCGCGGTGTCTGATACTTCACCTATACTTGTATTCCTTCCCGCCTTTCTTCGCCAGCTGGGTTCCGACTGAGTTCCAAAAACGCTGATCAAGCTGCGCATGGGTATATATTCCGAATATCTTGATGACTGCGGTGCAAGCGTGAGCCTCGACATAGATCATACATCCACTGCTATCGAGCGCGGTTTACCTTGACGCTCGCCCTGAAAGAAGCGAAACACATGTGGATGAGTATCGCCGACCGACAATTGAGCTAGAACTAGGCTTACATCGGTGCCAAATTCGGGCACGCAATCGACCTGATACTGTATTCATAACGTCAGCTAACGAGTGTCGCTACGGCATCATTTCCACGTACGACGAGACGCAAATCCCTCGTCATCTTCGCTTCGAAGATCGGGATGTCTGTATCAGGACCGTTCAAGCGCTTCTGGTTGTCGTCGGAGAAGTGGCCTGTCGACAATTCCCTGGAGAAAGAACATGCGAGAGCGCCTTTGGTAAGCACCGCGTTCATGAGATGGTAACAGAACACCGACTTGATCTTCTTGACGATAATCCTGAACGTCTCCCGGTCCTTTTTCCTTGTCTCCCGCAGCTTCTTGTCCGCTCGGGTCGAGACCAGGATGCGCCACTCGCCGAAGCCCTCGACGCTGTCGAAGTAGAGCGCGGCCTTCATGGGCTGCACCATCGGGTAGGCGGCGGGCGTCTCGGACTCGCTTTCGAGATTCTTGCGACTGAGCTCCGGCGACGCCATGCGCGTATCCTCGTTCGTGCTCGAGTTGGGCTGGTGCGGGTTCGATAGCTCTTCGTTGATCGCGTTGAGGACGGCTTCGTGTGTTTGAGGCCAACGTACCACCTCTAGGTACCACTGCAAAACGGGATCAATGCACGAGTTCCGGCAAGAAGATATAAGCAGGGTTCTGACCGTCAGCGATTGCCTGAGCTCGTCCAACACCTCGTGACGCAGCACGTCTGCCTCCCGACGGGTTTGCGGTACCGGTGCTCCATACGCGCGAAACGCGTTCAGCTCGGACGCTTTCAGGTTCGGCCCCTTGTCGATCGTCTTCTGACGCGGTCGCTTGCCGCGTTTCTGCTTGTTCTCCCGTTGAGACTTGCGCTTTAGGGTGATGTTCACTCCCAAGGACAACGCTTCGTCGTCGTCATCCTCTTCTACCTCGAGGAAGGTATCCTCAGGGCTGTTGCGACACGCTGGCGCGTGTGACGATGGACCACTCTCTGGAAAGATCGTGGTGGATAGCACCTCCAAGACAGGGGATGCGGTTTGGACGCGTTGCAGTCGCCGACGAAGGTCGTCGAGCGACTCAGCGTCCGTGTCAGCGTTATTAGCCAAGGCGCACAGGTTGGCAGACAGTTGGGCAAGAAGAGGTTGCCACATGCGCGTGAGGTACGCGCCGGCGTTGCTCGGAAAGTGGCCAAGAAGCCACTCTCTGAGGAACGTCAGGGGCCTTTCGTCGAGAGCTAACCGCCAATAACGTCCATCAATTTATCGTCCCCTTATGCGAATGAAAAGGGCCGAGCGGCACCAGGCGTCGTATCGACTTACCGCTTAAAACGTACTCAAGAAGGTAACGTTGGTGGTGCGTGGCTTGCACCCAGTCTTCCACGACGCCTCGAACGATGGCATCGGCCTCGGCGGACGTCTTAGATGCGTGCAGTAACGTTGCATTAGATTTTCGAAGTGGTTCATTGTAAGCATTCATTGCAGCGAGTCAACGTTTCGCGGTGACAGGGGTGAAGAGGGAGAAAGAGGTACCGCGTCAGCCCGAGGGTCGGCTAGTATTTATGCGTGCTTACGACCGCAAGTTTTGAGTTTGAGACTGGCCCGTGGCCCTATCTACCGCGATAAAGTTCACAACTTGGGAAACCCTCTGGTGCTTGGCTATAACGTTGCTGCACATCCTTTGTTCTAGGTAGAAAAACACTAGTCACGTCCGAGCCCGATGCAGCAATTGTAACTGGTAACCGTCTCACATGCACTAACACGCGCCAAAGATAACCCATAACAAGGACTGCGACATCCTGCACGATAGAACAGGAGCAGCGCGCGGTTGTAGGCGTGGCCCAGGGAAGGGACAGTAATGTTGTGCAAGCCGGTGACCGCGAGGCAACCCGCCGGTCCCTTGCGGGGTGATAGGGGGGTTTCCTGTTTGGGACAGTGCAATAGACCAGAAGAAGCTCGTTCATTGGGTGGGTTTGTCATGTCCGACCATCACACCTTCTTCACTTCCAGCTGAAAGGGCCGGTGTCAATGACCCAAACATACCCATAGCGGCAGGATGGCAACACTACCCTCGGCCCCCTCCACCCCACTGACCACGAGCCACACCACCACCCGCATGCCACAGACTCCCGTCTCTCATTCTGCCATTCCCGACGACATGGACGCCTCCGACGCCGTGCTCGACATTTCCCGGCATACGCCCGTGGCGGAAGATAGCATTCGCTATCAACATTATGCGCCGGACGGAGATGCGAAGCCCACAGCCATGGACGACAGCGCGGTGTTAGAGGGCACGACGCTCGCGCACGACTCGGTGATTGCCACGGACGAGGCATCGCCTGGCGCCGACGCCAGCGCCCACCCACTCCGGCGAGGCGCCGACCCGAACGCAAATGGGCGGCCTTCCCTCGGGATCGATGCCACCTCGCCCGCGCACAGTCTTCCCAGCCCACCCCTCACGCGGCGCACGTCGAACGCCAGCCACTCCTCGACCCGGTCGCGTTCCCCACATACCTCCATACCCATAGCGGACGACGAAGAGATCACTTTTTCCACCTCGAACTGGCGTACCAGGACCGGCATGGCGGAGAGTCCGGCAGAAGAAGACGTAGCGGTCTTCTCTCTTGGCGAGGAGGAGGACGAGTCGGGCGATCCGGGACCGTCCACGAGCGCGAAGCGACGGGAAATAGTGCACCCGCTTCAAGATCTCAACGCTTCCCGGCCGTCTCCTCCGCCATGGGAGGTCATCCATCCACCACCGGGAAACGGCGACCGCCTCGAGGTCAAAGCCGCGAACGTTGGTACATACTCCACACATCGTACGCTCGGGAAGACGTCCGGTATGGGTTATGACGGGTTGGATGACCGAGCTTCGTAAGTCCCGTTATACGCGCTTAGGCGCATATCTTGGGCGCAGGCTTATGCCGATCCTTTGTTCCTCGTTCAGGCGACGATTAATACCTAAATCCTCCTACTACTTCGGTCCACCACCAGCTGGCTCAGCCTACGGCTCCGAGCCTATCGGCCACATCGGCGTGCATTATCCTCGCGAGGTGGTACGAATAGAACGCGACTTTTCCGGAGGCGAAGTGATCCAATTCGCGTCTTCCTATCCCCTGGAGCTTGAGGGTCGAGTGAGCGTCCTGTCTTCCCCTTTGGGTCTCCGCGGTCTCTGAGCAGGCGCCATCTAGATAACCCCCACGCAGTTCCTGGAAGCGATCAATGCTATCAATGAACTATTGATCTCCGCCCATAGCCTTCGATGGGCCTTCGTTGACAATGCTCTCGAGTTCTTCTCTCTGCAACTGTCTCGACTAATCGTGAAGACTCACTATGAGAGGGTACGTGCGATCCCATGTTGTGTTATACCTTTCACGACTGATCTGTCATCTTTACACAGGAAATGGTGAAGCTGAAGCGCGTTGTCGATGACTGGAACCACGCGGTATTTAATCCTGCTGGGTTGAATATATTATGGCCCCGGAAGGTCGCCTTCCTATTCGTAAGTGGCCAGTCCTCCTGGTCTTTGCTTGGCTAACCTCTGGCTGGTTTTCTGTCAACAGCTCGAAATCGAGTACTATGTGAGCACTCAAATAATTGAACGCTATCCTTCGTCTTTCTGACCCCATTCCTTCCAGTGAACGCACTCAGACGAGGCGCATCCGCTCGTTTCGCTCCTTACACCTACTATCTCTCGTTTATCCGTTTCACTTGGGCACCGCTATCCACCGCAATATCTTATATACTAACAGTATACGGTCAGGAATTATCCATTATCCGACGTCGGTCAATGATACTTGCATCTGCCTATTCATGCCAATAGACATTCGATTGCATCCCTATTTCTTTCACGCCGTGTCTCTCGGTCACCTGAACCGACGAGCATCTGGTCTCGCTGGACACAAGCAATATATTTGTAAAGTCAGCACCCTCTACGGGCACGGATCCCTGCGACACGAGGATACGAGCCTGACCCCCCAAAAAACCTTCGACCCCCACGCGGAATAACAGGAACGCAACGGTGTTTACGTGTTTCCAGACGGAGGACAGAAATCAAACATTCCGACGTCCGGAGGGTTAGCGCTCTGGCCGTCGACCGAGAAGCCCGTGCCCCCCCTAATCCGCAACCCGCGCGGGTCGAGGAGCGGATGTTGCGATCCCAACCCGCGACGGACCAACCTGCGGGAATTACCCTATATGGCAAATCCGGTCACGGGACGGAACGTCGGCGCCCACGTGAGGACTTCGCGTCGGCTTGTTCGCTCATCACGTCCATATCGAGCAGGAGGGCGCGGATGGCGGGTGGAACGTCTACCCGCCATCCGCGCCTTCATCCGCGCCCAGCAAATGCTTATAAGGACCGCGTTTTGTGCTCACTGGTCTTCAGAAGTTGCCTTCTACCGAACGCGACATCTACGGTCTTCTCTACACGCTCGCTCGCCCCACGTTCGCTGCATCTCACTGTCGTTCACCCATCATGATGTCCTTCATCGACACCATCCTGACCTTCGTGGTCCTGTTCTTCCGCACCATCTTCTGCCTCGGCCCCCGCGCCGACGCCGACGAGGAGGCCCGCATCGGCATGGTCGCCGACGAATCCTTCTGCTGCCGCGGCGGCCGCATCGAACACCCCCAGATCGTCCAAACCCCTTTTATCATCATCGAGGAGTGCCCTTCCGAAAGGGGCCAGAAAGTCAACAACAGGAAGCCCTTGCAGGCTTACCTCAAAGTCTATCCTGGTCAGGTACGCGCCTTGGGACCCCTGTCTGCGTCGATCGACATCTCACCTTATATTTAGAAGGAAAGGATCGAGGTCTTCAGGCCGAGTCAGAATCCGGGGGAGATGAAGAACGCCCCCGTCGTCTCCAAGGAACAAACTGCGCAGCAAGCCGTCGCATCTGAAGTGAGTTTGATACCGATTACTATCACGTATACACAGTAACTGACCACCGCGATTTTAGATTCAACGCACCATCACGCGCCTGGAGTCCGGCGGGGAGTCCCAGTCGGCCCCTATTTCGTACTTCGAGGCGAACACCATCGAGAACAAGGAAGAAGTCGTTTTAGGCGCCAAAGCCCTTCTCTTTGACGTGAGTCCAGCGCATTTTCCCGGCATGGTTTTAAACTGACAGTTGTCGTCAATCAGATCGTGCGCACGCTTGAGCGCGTGGAGGCAAAGGAGAAAAAGTCCGAATCGGTTCCCGTGCCTCCCATGGAGGAGAAGATCCTCGAGAACGTTGAAAAGGAACTTCCCTCGTCGACCCTCGCCGACATCGCTACCGAAATCATCGAGTCTGCCCAGCAAGAAGCTTCGAGTGAGACCGAGGGCGCCTTCGCAGCTATGAGTGCTTCTATCAGCATGTTCGACCTCTCCGCCCTCTTCAAGGACGAGGCTACCCCCTTGGAGTCCGTCTCCCCCCACGCCGCGGGCCTCCCCCTCCAAGACATCCTCAACACCGAGGAGAACGCCAGCCTCGTTGCGGCGGCCACGGCGAGTACCTCTAAAGCTGGTGGTGCCGCCGCCGCGGATTCCGAGTGAGTTTGCATGCTCTTTGCCTCCTCTCGTACAACGATCCTGACGATGCATCGCTCAGATCCGCCCCGAAGCTTCAAGGCCGCGTCTCCCGCGCCCGCTCGGGCTCCTTCATACTCCGCGACGGAGTCATGCACGGCACCCCTCTCCGCGCCGCCGACCCCGCGCACCACGTCGCCCACTTCACCCCCGCCGCCATCCCCGTTTGGCAGCCCCCGCGCCCCAACAAACTCACCGTCCCGGCGTGGGATTACCAGATTCGCATGGCCGAAGACGCCCAGATAATGGCCGCCGCCAGGGCCGCCGCCGAGAACAACTAGGACGCTCCGCGCCCGACGAACATCGTACAGCCTGCCAAGGACTCGAGGGCCTCACATTGCCCGCACGCCACAGTTTTCGCCCCATCATATGCCATATGCCCCTCATCAACAATTTGACCACATCTTTCACATCTTTGCCGCCTCAGAATCGGAACAAGAATCGAAATCGGATACGGAAATGGACTCGGATATCTGGACATCGGAATCGGCATTGGATACGGATACGGAACCGATAAAGTCTCGGATATTGTATAGTTTCATCACCGGGGTGCGCCTCAGACCCTCAGACCCTGTAATCTCCCGCCTCGTCTCTCCCTCTCTCGACATCTTCTGTATCGATCATCATCATCATACTGTACCGTAATCAATTACAAAAACGAACATCAAACATCTTTCCCCTTGAAGATCGCGAGGTCTGCAGCTGGGCGTCCGCAATGAGCTGGCTTATGCTCATGGAGCGATCGCGTACGACATCCGCTGATATCAGAGCCGTTATCATAAGTACCGACGTCCTGACATTACTGTAGCCCAGGCCGAACCAAACCCGTCAATCTTAATTCTGAGCATACGACTCCACCGCGGCTTCCAGTCCGTCAGAGGACAATGCAAGACTTTCCGTGCGTTCGCCCATAATCTGCCAGCGATCGCTTTGTCAGGCACATAACCCGAAAACTGAAGAAAAAACCCCACCCGGAGGGAACCACTCACGCGGTCCGTCTCGATGCGCATAACCTCCACAAACGCCTCAACGACCCTATTCTCGGGATCGGCGGACGGCAACGCGCCTCGCACGAAGTAGGACGACGCGGAGGCGCCCATCGCGTCCCGCAACGTGATCAAGCTCGAGGAGGCCGGCACGGGCGGTGTGACCGGCCCGAACACGGCGCTGTTGGGCGTCGTCGAACCGGGCGTGGGCGACGCGCGGCTGGTGAACGCGAGGACGTTCATGATCCGCCGCCAGTGGCCGGCGCTGCCCGGGGTCAGAGGCGTGGGCGGGAAGGCGGCGTCGAGCGGAGAGAGGAGAGAGGGCTCGGGCGGGGTGCCGTCGACGGGGCCTACCGAAAGCGTGGACGACGTCGATACGTAGCGGGAACGATCCGAGGCTCTGCAGCGCATGGACGGCGGCGCGTCCGTGGACGATCGAGACAGCTTGAGAGGCGCTGGCCGAGGGGCGCGGATCTTCCTCTGCTCGCCGTTATGCATGGTCTGTTGGGTAGGACGTATAGTCTGGTGGGGATGGTCTGCGCAGGGCTTGAACCTTGACGGTCCGCGAGTCCATCTTTCGGCGTCGGTCCTTGATGTACACCTGTCAAGTTGCTTGTCAGGATAGTGGCGGTGAAAACTTCCATGATCAACCAAGTTGCCGTGAAATGGTAGTATTTTTTGACATGACACATTGTACACAGGAGAAGCCGGGGAAGGCGACCAGCGCGAGCGGAGCATCGATCTCGCAAAATACCAGACGTTCGAGCAAGTTCCGGACAGAGAACAGATATGAGGGTTCCATGGGTTATATATTCGATATGCAAGAAGATCTGCTTGTGAAACCATCCTGCACACGATCGGTCAGTTTCAGCGAAGTGCGGTCGAAGCCGCGGTACTGACGCGTCCAACAAAGGCTTTCAAAGATGTTTCGAGGCATCGCCGACCACTTTCTTGTTTCGATATGTGTTGCGACCGATTCCAGCGAACCACGCAAGTCTGTATTCACAGGCGGGGTGAGCTCCGTGAACGCGTCCCGGACGACATGCATCACGGACCTCGATCCCAACAAAAATATGACGAAGGTGATGTTGCCGTGCGTCATGGGGTTCCAAGCAAGGATATTCCATTTCAGGTCAGACGGCAGGGCGACGAACGTAGCCACGATGCTGCGGTCCATTCAGTACGTCCAATGCATCCTGGAATGGGCACATAAGGGTATCGGCTTACTGCGTGAACTTGGTTATGATGAGAACTTTGAATGAGGGACGATCTCGGCGCTCACATCAGCTATGGCCATGGCGGCAAAGCTTGCTCCCAGGATCCGTTCCTGAGCGGCCGGGTCTCGAGGTAGAGCATCGCGCACAGCACGGAACACGAAGGAAGAGAGTAATCCAAGCAAGAGATAGCCTAGAGCAGCAAATCGTTTCAGCATCTATCCGGACGATTCATATACGGGGACGTGGCCCATGGCGAGCCGGACCGATGGGATATAATCGTGCTCGTCCGCAGAATACGGAGGTCACGGTATGCCGTGTCATCACCGATAGGATTTGCACGTACAATTCCCAAGTTGCCATATCGCCATCGTAGAACGTTGATCCAGAAATCCAGCCGGAGGCGTCTCCGTGCCCGCAGGCGACGGTATGAGTTCGTGGTGGAACCACGTAGCGCCTGGGAAGTACCAAGCCATGAACGCTGGTAGTATAGTAGACGCCGGCTCGACGTGGAGGAACAAGGTGTTGTAAAAGCCAGGTAATGCAAGAAATTCAGGCATAGTTGCGAGTGGGGTCCAAGCTACAATCGTGGTGGTCGGATGTGAGAGCACGTCTTGTGCCACGATCCCACCGCGACGCGTCGTGCTAATTATAGCTCTTGCCCCGCTACAACAGGAGCGCGCTGAATGTAATCATCCCCCAGTACAAGCACGATACAAGCCCTACCATTGAATTTACATGTCATCGACACTGGCGCCAGCTCGTCAGGTTGGGCTGGACAGCCCCGGGTCTTCCATCTTCGACTTGCCCTCCACTGCGAACCCCCGCCCCTCCAGCTCGCGTGCGCAAGGCGTGAATACCGAAATCCCCGATTCCGATGATATATCGGAGCCGAGCTTCCTCGTCGTGTCGGGCGGGACTGGCTGCAACGCGATATGCTCTGCGTTTGGACAGAATGCCTGCTACGTCCTCCCCGTTTCTGACGACGGAGGCTCTTCGAGCGAGATCATTCGTGTCATAGGCGGTCCTTCGATCGGTGCGTGAGGTGTTCGCTGTGCGTTTTCCGTGACATCTAATCAACCGACTTCGCTCACGTAGGCGACATCCGGTCTCGGCTGGTCAGGTTGATTCCACCTGCCCCACCTGGATCGTCGCTGGACGCAATTAGGGGCTTACTCGAACACAGGCTCTCCGCCGACGAGCATGAAGCAAGGCAGAGGTGGAGAGAAATCGTAGAAGGGCACAGCGACCTGTGGTCTGGAATTCCTAACGACCGTAAGGAAACAATAAGAGGTAAGGGTGCTACTCTCCGACGCTATCAAGCATGACATCGGAGCTGTTGGCAGGCTTCCTCGTGTATTTCGAATCAGAGCTACTTCGGCGAGCACACAAAAGCTTCTCATTCCTGAATGGAAGGTCCGTCATGGGCGTTCAGAGGTAGTTCAGATGCTGAGACCGCTGACGTTCTTGCTCTTCTTATGTAGCGTTGGCAACTTCTTCATCGCGGCGACTACTTCCTTCTTCAGGTCTCTCCCTTCAGCCATCTTTCTCTTCTCGAGCATCACCCAGAGTCAGGCGAGCCTCATGTTTTTTTATTGGTGTTGGTTGCTGAACTGTGTACTTTCAAGGCCAATATTCTGCCCGTGATAGTGACTAATCACACAGTGACTATAGCCGCTGAGCTCGTACGTCGCCATCGCATTGAGACTCGGCGGTCCTACTTCATGCTATACCCTAGGAAGATCAAACCCACCTGATTGGTCAGTGCGAAATATCGCACCCGGTTCGACGCCCTCCTTCCATCAACGTTACCAACACGGACGATACATCGGGAGATGACGACGCCAGCGACACGGACTCGGTGGCGAGCAAAGATACGGAAGACGGCATCTCCGCTCGCACCGGGTCAAGGGCGAACATCAACTTCCAGCAAAGCTCTAAGGAAGAGTACATCCCGCTCAGTGCTCGGATAAGCCGTGAGCAATGAGCCCCGTATCACGACCAAGCATATCATGACATGGCACCTAGGGATCTACTACATTAACGCCTACGGGCAGGAGATCCATCCATCGCCCAACCCGGACTTTCTTTCAGTCATCCGGTCCAGGGACGTTCTCGTCTACTCCTGCGGGTCACTATGGACGAGGTAAGAGTCATCATCTGATATCACGGTCTCGGTCGCTGTGCCAACGCTCCCTTCCAGTATCATGCCCTGCCTCGCGCTTCGCGGCGTGGGGGAAGCCATCGCCAAATCCCAGTCTCTCAAAGCCAAGGTTCTGCTGCGTCGGTCACGAGCCTCTACGTGAACGTGAGCTGCTTCCTGATCGCCGGCCCACAGTGAACGCTCAGAACGACCGCGAGACCGAGGATTACTCCGCAGCGGATTATATCGAGTACGCCGCCTGAATACGCGGTAGCACCTCTGACCATCGATATCTTGCCTACAGCGCGATCGTCACGACGCTCTGCGCGCGGTACCGCCCGCGCAACGACGGCAAGTCGGGCGCCACCTCCCAATTCGCGGCCATGGCGGACTACCCTACGTCCGCGTTCGTCACCCATCTTGTATATCTCGAAGAATCTAGCGTTCAAGTGGACGTGGATACGGTCACGGTAAGGCAAACGTTACATCTGTCTTGGTACGGTCGGTGATACTGCGCACAGATGATGGGCGTGAAGTGCGTCGCGGTGAGCGGCAATAATGGAAAGTTTGACGCCGCTTCGACTCGGGAGGGATTGGATCGTATTCTAGCCGAGTGCTAATCGCCGGACACGATCTACGTAGGACTGTCCAGGACACGAAGCCAAGGAATAACATACATCGCTCATAGATAAACACAATGGACTATATTAGATGTACTGTATATCAGCTAAATGGGGAATTCACGCTTTCATGAACTGTGCAGACGTGGACATGAGCGATTTTGTCCACTACGGTGGGAGAACCTAAACCCTCACATTCGTTGCCTCCTTTTCAGATACCGACGATCGCCCGCCATGCTGTTTCGCCTCCTTGTCGCTGATTAAGCTGAGTTCTCGACCTTCCTCTGCCACGCTACTCCAGAACTCGCGGTTTCCTGGCGACTGCGATATGCACTGGTCCTTGAGATTCCTAAGGAACCTGAACGGAACCATCAGTCATGTCATTTAGAAGTTCAATGCATGAAAGGGAGACGCACTGGTTCCATGCGTCGATTTCATCCTCCTGGAAAGCACCATAAGGTTAGTAAACATCTTCCTCGAGTACACCAAGAGATATATCAGGTGACGCACCTTCAAACACGTATCCCTCATAGCGCGCATGCAATCCACCATCTCCATCCGCCTCCTGCCCGAGAACGGCCGCATCACGATCTCCATAATCACCGCCGCGAGATCCTCGACAGCCTTCGTCACCACGTCCCCGCGCGCAATATTCTTCTTGAAGTCCTCCAGCGGGTACGTCATGCCGACGATGCGACCCGGCTCGAGCCCAGGGTCGACGTCCGCTTGCGACTCCGCGCCGGGGTCGACGTCCATCCGCGCCCCGTCTTCCGCGGGCGGCGTAGGAGGCGGGCGTCCATGCGCCGCGTTCCGCTTCGACACGGGTTTCCCGACCTTCGACTCCGTCTGCGGCTTCGCCGCGTCCAGCAGGAGCGCCTCCTCTTCCGACTCGGACTCCGTCTCGCTGTCCGCCGCCTTGCGCTTCGGCCGCCGCTGCGACCGCTCCCGCTCCGTTTCCGCGAGTTCCTGCGTCTGCTGAACCTGCGACTGCGACTGCGTGCGCCCGTTCGGGCCCGCGAACTTGTCAAGGAGGAGCACGTCCTCGTCCTCATCCCGCGCGCGTCGGTGTCCATCTTGCCGGCCCTTCGCAACCCTCTTCGGAACTGCGCGGTTAAATCTCGTCAGCAATTACGCTTCCTCCCTCGACAGAGCAGCAGGCTATTGATGACGCTGAAGCTCACCCTCGCGAACTTTGAAGGCGGCCTTGGCGTGCTCGATCGCCGGCGCGGCGCGCTTGAGCACCTTCTTCGGCGGCTCGAAATACTTCAACAACTCAGGATGGGGCGGCGGAAGCGGATTGGAATTCAGGTCTTGCGCGACAGCGGAGTGGAAGAGCGCTTGCTTCGTGCGGTGGATCGCGGGGTTATACGATAGGCGGGTGTCGTACCATGGATAGCGATTACTGTGTCGTATACGGCAGTGTGGGAGAGGGCAGCAGAAATGATCAGTTTGAAGTTGAGGACGTGTCATCAAAGAAAAGCATACCCTTCTTCATCTTTCTCGCCCGCTTCCATCAGGTCCATGGCATCGACGAAGGCATCCATCGCGTCCTGCTGCTCGGGCGTCGGGAGATACGCGTGCTCCTCCACCACCTCGCCGTTCTTGTTGATCAGCGTATCAAGTGAGGCGAACGTATACTTCCGCACGTCATCCGCAAAAGGCATCTACGAGAGCCATATAAATTCCTTCTCTGTATCCCTTAACTGACAATAAAAGACGCGAACTCACCTGGACCCAGAGCAGACAATCGATCTTTTCAAACACGCTCGGTGCGAGCACACCCATCTTGGGGTCCATGCCGTCGCGACTCACCCAGCGAGCGATCGCCATGACGCCCTTCTCTTCCATCGCCTGAGCGATGCTCGAGAGTGCGATCTGCTGAGCGGGAACGGCCGGGTCCGCCCAGACATAGTACACCTCGCCCATCGCGAGTTCGCGTCGAAACTAGATCGCATTGTTTAACATCACACATTAGTCACAGGAGCGACAACGCACGTTCTTGGCCTTGAAGAAGCCGCAGATGTCGATTCCCTTCCGTGTCTCCAGCCTGGGGAACGCGCCTTCGGGGCATGGCACGTACGTCGCGCCGTACTTGAACCCGCGCACGAGGTCCTCCTTCTCCACCTTCGCACCGTCCCCGTTCTCGCCGTCCTTCGCACTCTCGTCGTCGGTGTGGTCCCCACCGTCCTCGCCGTCCTCATCCTTCTGATTCCCGACGTAGTACTCCGTGCGCGCCGCGAGCTGTGTCCACGCCACCTTCTCGCCCACTTCTTCCCCGCCGTCCCGATCTCCATCCTCGTCTACATCCATCCCATCGCGCCGTTTACGCACGGGGGCGAACCGCTTCCAGCCCTTCGGCCGCGCGAGCGCCGTGCACTTGCTCGTGCGCACCACCAGCTCGAGCGCTTCCTCCGGACGCGCGTCAACGTCTCCCAGGCGCAGCATCGTGCTCGTCAATGCCGACTTGGTTTCCTTGATGTCCGGTCGAGTGATCTCGCGCAGCGCGAGGGCGCAGGTACCGACGATGCCGTGCTCGAGCTCGGCGACGAAAGAGCGGTAGAACTGCTCGTTGGCGGCCTTGGTGCGTGACTTTCCTTCCTCGTGGAAGGGCAGGTCATCGTCGTCGAAGTCAATACCACTATTTCTCAAATTTAAGCGTCTTGCCTGTACTCAGAAAAGGAAGGCCGGGATAGAGGATTGTGTGGCGTTTGTGGGAGACGTACACGATGGTGAGGCTGACGCCGATGTCGTTCATCTTTCGCACCGTGGCCTCCCAGTCCTCAATCTCCATAGGGCTCTCGCCATCGGTGAGCAGGACAATTTTACGCGTCCAGGTTTTCTTCTTCCCGAGGTACTGCGCCTGCGCCTCGAGGCCCACTATGAGGGCGTCGATAGGATCCCCGGAGACCTCGCTTGGTTGTAGTTTAGACAGTTTAGCGAGCGTTCCTGCATTCGGTTGTGAAATGGGGATATACTCCGAAACGTGCTCGTATCCGCTCTTCATCTGGTCGTGCACCAGGTTGTGCGTTTCTTCGGTACCGAAGAGGATGACGCCGCATTGCTCGGTCTTGCGGCCGTGGAATATCATCTCTTGAATCTTGAGTTTGACAAACTGCAGTCCCCACTCGAGGTTGGTAACCTCCGTCGTGCGGCGCTCGCCCTTGGGCCCGGGTGGAAGCTCGACCTCGCGAAGCTTGCCCATGGACGGCGAGATGTCCACGAGGAACATCGTGACTGTGTACTGTTCATTATGCGCGCATTCAGAGCCATTCCTTCGTATCACGGTGAGTTGTGCGCACCCCAGCCCTTTCGGCAGGCATCGTGGACGGAGGTGGTTAGGGGCAAAGTCGCGTCGGGAGTCAAATGGGGCGCGGCGACAACGGCTCCGACGCGCCACGGTCACGGGATGGCGGCGATGGCCGACTCGGCTACGGCCGACGAACTCGCCAAGTCGTGAACGACCATAACGATGAGCGGCGACGACGACGACAATTCCAAGATTGCAGTAACTATATGATGTCTATAATCTCTTTGGAATATTTGACATGATAGCCAACCATCTCTGCTGGATCCTCCCTTACGGACGAACAGGCCAGTCTTCATGGGCTTACTGCGATGCTCATTTACAACGCCCACCTGGGCTCCCCTCTATGAGCCCTCACCATTGAGCCGACTCCGGTACTCCTCCGCTCAGATGAAAAGGCTGGTAGCGATTTTCTACAGGACGACACACCTATGTCCACTCAAGGCGTCGGGGAATGTCGCTTTAGTCTTTCAGCACTGGAGGAGATCGCATGCGAGACGGGACGACCTGCCCTTCACGCGTCCCGGCATGCGGAATAAATCAGCACCTGCCTTTTGTGGTCACCCCGAGCGCGGGACGGGCCGATCGTGCTCTTCTGGGCCCCCATCTACCTCCTATGCGGATTAACCTCCAGAGGATCACCCTCGATACGATGTTTTAAACCGGGCTAGGACGCGTCCAACTCTCTCCAGACGTTGCCTCCTACCATCGCGACCTCTAATCTCTCGACGCCCTCACGCTCGACTCACACTCGCTATAACCCACCTACCCACTGTCATTCACACATCACCACACGATGTTTACGTTCATCGACGCCATCCTGACCTTCCTGGCCCTTTTCCTCCGGACGCTACTCTGCCTTCCGATCTGCGCGGAGGCGGACGAAGAATCCCTGATCGGCACTTTTGTCGCCATCGACCTCCCGGCATACTTCCGGGTCTTCACCACCAACGGCACGAAAGACAACAGTGCCTACAGCGCACGGCGTTCCGCTCCTGCGGATAAGCTTACCGCGAAGTACCCTACCATGGTAGGCACGGGCCAGTCTTCTTTCCAGCATGGCAGCTCACCTAAGACGTCACGACGACCACAGGCCCAGCTCAAGCTGAACTTCGCCGATGCCTTCGAGCGCCCCTCCATGGATCAGTTCAAATACAACTTCGAGGACGTTTACGCCCACCCCTCCATGGCCGAGTTCAAACTCAACTTTGAAGACGCCTACTCTGCTTCTCGCCCAAGGCAGGGGGCCCACCCCACTCCTTCCCGCATGCCCATTGCTCCCGCGCCATTGCCCCACCTCAGGCTCGCCCTCATTCGCGTTGACTACGGCCTCACGCCCACACCTCCCCTTCACATTATGCGGAAGAAGACCAAGCGCCTCGCGCTGCAGAACATCTCCAACGTCTGTGCCGCGCCCGAGAAACGCGGTACGCCTCGCCGCTCGACGGATTGGGGGAAGGCGCCTCCTGCTCTCACTCCCGCTCCTGCCTTTACGACCTCGTGGCTGGATGAAGACGAGCTTCCCCGCTCTATGAACGATTTCAACAACCTCCTCGCATCTCAACTTGCGTCGCTCAACTTCTCTATGGACTAGGGCGCTCTTCGATGCGCACCGCACGGTCACAAAGCTTCGGATCCCCCCAAGTGCTTTCGATGGACGAAGAATCGGATATGCATGGTGGATAGAGTCCCGACTCTAGGAATAACACTTCGTTTTGGATACTGTACGGTTTCCTCATCCGGGATCCTCATCCTTGGACTGGTAAATATCTCACCCCTGTATCTCCCAACCCGGTCTCAACATTACTGTAACACATGCCCACGAACTGTAGCGTAGCAAACCCAGAGAAATCGCACCATCCATCCCTGGTGATACCCATATGAACGCAAATGAAAGCGGAACTCTAGCTCGGCTATAGAAAGTCAATGTGATATCCATGCACTCCTGATACGCATCTTGCAAGGACAACGTTATTATAATATCGCGGCGTCGAGCTCGAGCGCTCGGAGAATGCCGAAAGTCCCCGTCGCTCCCGATGAAGCAAGTGTTTCTCGGGGTATACGAGTAGTCTCGTTACCAGCCTGCCTGAATCCAACGAGGCGTGCGAATGTTGGGCGCGTGTAATCTGTACAGATAGTCGACGAGGGCCTCACTCTGCGAAGCTTGCCCGAACGACGATCAGATGTCCAGCGTCTCAAGAATTGGTGCATATGCGTGGAACTGCTGCAGGACGTCGAGAATAAGGGTTTGCGATGCTTCAATGAGGAGGCCGGAGATGCGAGAAGAGTGTCGGAAAACGAGCGCTCGGAGAGCTTCCTCTTCTCCCACACGGTACGGATCAAGGTTCCAAGAATGATGAACGATACGTAGATGAGGATTCGGGAAGCGCTCGCTCAGCGCGTATGCCAGCTTAGAGGAGCATGTCTTCAGCTTGGTCCACAGTTTCGGAGTGTCTAGCGCAGTTCGTCGCCAAAGCGCACAGACCTGGGCCAAGGCCGGAGCCCACTCTGACCATCCCCAATCGGAGAGCTTGCCCACTTTTTGCGCTTCAACCATGATGCTTGACAAAATCTCGCGTGGAAGGCGATGTATTGGTAGCGATGCGTTATGTTGCAGGCGCAGATCGAAGAGAGCCTTCTGGATGCGTTCGGCGTCGCGTTCGAGCTGCTTATACTGCCGCGAGCGTTCGGGCGAGAACACGGATAGCAAATGCCGGTGCTCTTCCTTGGACGCGCGGGGTAAAGACCTGGTACACAATGGGCACCATGGTGTACTGGGCTCGTCAGACCAGGGAGATCCAGCCGGGTTCAAGTGCGGATACTCACTGAGCGTCTGACATGGCAAGACTAAGGCCTGAGGTGAGATCCGGAAACCCCGATCGACCCAAGGCGACTAAGTATAGAACTGCGACCAGCTGTCGCAGGACAAGAGGATGGTGCAAGTAGTGTTTGCGCCGTGCGGCGATGTAGTGTTCTCCGCAAAGACGCGGTTCGCGACGCGTGCGCGCACAAACACCGAAACGGTACTTACTGACACAAACAATCAATACGGGATTGCAGATTGCGGCTGGACAGGCACTGAAGTTGAAGCTCCAAAAAGGATAGCCAACAGGATCCCTCAATTCCACGGCTCTGAGAATCTCGCAACCGTGCGCAGCCACTCAAGCCCATGAAGTGGCGAGCCACTCGAAGAAGTAGCTTCCGAAAACACTGTTACAGAACGATAATATACAAGAAGACAAGGCAGGAACAACAAAACAACGAACCAACGTAACGGTCTACTCATCATCCGAAGGCGTCAAATACTCATCGTCACTGGGCACCGCCCGACGGGACCCGGATCTCCTGCTGGGCCCCGAAACCACTCGGTCGTCCTCTTCCATGGGCGTCGGGGCCGCGGAATATGGCGTAGGAGCCGCAGCGGGTGCGCCGACAGGGGCACCAGGCAAGCCCGAGCCCGTCATAACGCGCTCAAACGTCGCATCGAACACGCGCTCCATCTCCTCCGCATCGATATACACCCAGGATCCTTCCTGGTTGTACGTCTTCGCGTTCCGCACCATGAGTTTGAAGTCGTCCCGGTACTGGATCACGTCCCTGTAATAGTTACTCTGGGCGCGCTTTCGGAGGTGACTGAGCGCGATCGGCGTCTTGATAAGCTGGTAGTAGTCCGGGTAGTCCTGATGAGGCAACGTAAGCCGGGAGCACGCTCAGGTTGCGACACGAGCCCGCACCTTTCTATCAGGGAGCTCCTTGAACAGCTCACAGCGCCTCCGTCCAACCTCATCTTCGCAAGCCAGAACAGCCTTGTGACACTCAGCGAACGCTTTCTTCATCTTCTCCCGGACGGGAGGAGGCACCTCCTCTGCCTTTGTCTTCCGGCGTTTCTACAAGAGTACAATCAGCGGATGGGAATTACGAATGGCGGAATGCACGAACCGTGCCAGGACCCTCCTCCTCATCGCCGTTGATCGAGGGCGTGACAGACTGGGGCTTGCCGCGCTTGCGTTTTCCGCTGAGCGGTACCTCGAACTCCGGCTCCGGCACCTTTGGTTTGTTCTTGCGACCCTTGGGACGCCCACGAGGAGCCGGGCTCGGCGCAGGCGGCGGAGATCCCACCTCGACCTGCGCCTTGCGATTACGTTCGATGAGCTCATCCAAGTCCACACCTTCCTCGAGCGCCTGGGCATGACCATCAATATACAGCCTTTGATCCGCAAAGATTCGAATGCCTTACCATTGCCCACTGCTCGTCGCTCAGCCCGTCGTTGTAGTTGACGACAGTCCGCTTGCGCCCGCCGCGGCCTTCCATCTCCTCTTCGATCTCCTTCGCCTCGAACGGCGCGTCAGTCTGGTAGCATTCCGGGAGCTCCTCGAGTGTGATGAGACCCGGCGGCGGCTTGCCGCGGTGGCCGGCCGCGCGCCACGCCTCGGCGGCCTCCCGCTCGCGTTTGATGTCCATGTCCCGGAAGATGATCGTCTCGTCATCGGTACGAGCTATGATCTCGTTGATTTCGTCGTCGTTCATGTCGCCCGCCTCCTCATTCTCTTCCTCCTGATCGGCTTCGAGAATGGATCGCTGGAGAAGTCGTTTCAGCGTTTGTTAAGCCCATGAGCGGAAAATGGGAGACGAACCAAAAACTCTTCCTGCTCTTCCTGCGTCGACTTGTTATCGAAGCGACCGGCTTGGATAACCTTGTCGTCGATGTCGAGCTTGTACCGCGCGCGCGCGTACATGGCCTCCTCCACGCTCTTCTCCGTGATGAACCGGAGGATGCGAACCGCCTTCGTCTGCCCAATCCGATGCGCACGATCCTGCGCCTGCAGATCCGCATGCGGATTCCAGTCCGAATCGAAGATGATGACGGTGTCCGCGCTCTGGAGGTTGAGCCCGAGACCACCGGCGCGGGTGGAGAGGATGAAGACCAGGTATTCCGAATTCGGCGCGTTGAACTTGGCGACGTGGCCCGCGCGCTCCTCGGTCTTGGTACCACCATCGAGACGGAGATGTTTCCAGCCCATGTAGCGCAAGAAGTCCTCCATGATGTCCATCACCTTTGTCATCTGGAAGAAGATAAGGACGCGATGTCCCGTCGCGAAGAGCTTGGGTAAGATGCGCGCGAGGAGCTCGATCTTGCCCGAAGTGCGGATAAGCGAATCGTTGATCTGGCCGGTCGGGTTGAGCTTGTCCTCAACAGACTCGAACAGGAAAGGATGCTGGCAGATCTTGCGGAGCTGCATAAGCTCGTTGCTGAGACCCTTCACACCACCGCCTTTGCTGTAGCATGATGTGAGCAGGTTGCAAATGGGACAAAGAATTGGCGCGTGACTTACCCCTTCGCGTCGTTCCCGTCCGCGATCATCTTGTACTTCTTCATCTGCTTGTACAGCTGGCTCTGGAGCGCGCTCATCTTCACCTTGATCACCTTCTCCACCTTGTCCGGCAGCTCGCTCTCCACGTCCTTCTTCAGTCGACGCAGCAAGAACGGCCGTAACACCTTATGCAGGCGACGAATGATGAGCAGCGCCTCTTCTTCGTTCAGCTCGATCTTGTCGCCCGTGCCTGAGTTGGCGAACGGCGTGTTGAACCATTCGTCGAACGACTTGACCGAGTTGAAGACTTTGGGCAAGACGAAGTTGAGCAAGGCCCAGAGCTCGGGAAGGTTATTCTGAAGCGGAGTGCCGGTCAAGATGAGGCGGTAGCGCGAGTGGTAGTACGTCGTGAGCGTGACGGCAAGCTTGCTCTGCGTGTTCTTCATCCGGTGGCCCTCGTCGATGATCATGTGCACCCACTTGATCTTGCTAAGTATCGGCCTATCCTTGATGATGTACTCGTACGTCGTCAGCAGCACTTGGAATTGACCCATCCGAATCTCGTTCTGCAGCGCGCGCCGCTGCGCGGGATTGCCCTTGTAGCTGATCATCTTCACGCTAGGCGCCCACTTGGCGAACTCGCCCGACCAGTTGGTCATCGTCGAAAGCGGGACGATGACGAGGTACGGTCCGCGCTGCTTCTTGACCTCGATGAGGAAGGTGATGAGGGAAATCGTCTGGATCGTCTTGCCGAGACCCTATTCAAGAATCGATCAGACAATGTTCTTCGAACAAGCAAGCATGGATCTATCTCACCATCTCGTCGGCCAGGATACCGTTGAGCTTGTTGTTGTACAAGCTGACCATCCACTGCAGACCCTTGATCTGGTACTCCTTCAAGGTTCCACCCACAAGTATACTCGGCTGCTGCGTAACCTTCTCCTTGATCCGATGCGCGACCGCGTAGTAATCAATCTTCTTCCCCTCGCCCGCAGACGGCTCATCGTACTCGGCCACCTGCGCGCCAAACGTAGCCTCGTTCGTGCCCTCCGCATCGAGCCCGTCTCCGGCGTACGCGGGCACGCCGCCCTCCGCCTGCTGCGCCATAACCGCCTGCGCCAAGCTGTCGAGGTACGAGTCCGTCTGCTTGAGCAAGTGCGTAATCCGGTGGTCCTTGGCGGTGTCGATAAGCTTCATGTACGCCTCCTCGTCGTCCGCCTTGAGCGCCTTCAAACGCTCCTTGCTGATCCGCTCGATCCGCTTCTGCTCCTCCTTCTCCGCGTGCGCGTGGAAGGCCTGCACGGCGCGCCCGAGGCGCACCGCCCTGTCCTGCGCCGCCCGCCCTGCCGCGAGCACCTCCCGTCCATGCGCGCAGATCACGCCGAGCTGCGCGACGTGCTTCTGCTTCACGCGCCGCTCGCGGTCGAGCCTTTGTCGGCGCTCAGCCTGCTCGGTGGTACGCACGTCGCGGGCCGTTGGCCGGCGCGCGCGCCGGAACTCGGCGCGATCGAGCGGGAGGAGCGTACCGTGCGCGAGGCGCGCGGCGACGAGGGCGCGCAGCTCGCGCTGTTTGTCGAGCACGCGCAGCCCCTTGAGTTCGATCGTGGCGCGGAGCTTGCCGTGCGCGCTCGCGGAGGGGAAGACGAGCGCGGAGAGGCCGGCGTCCTTGGCGTTCTCCTTGTTGTTCTGGGCGTCGTCCGGGACGGGCTCGAGTCCGCCGTCGCCCATGGTCGAGGGCAGCCCCTCGAGCTCGTCGATGCGTTGCTGGATGCGCGCGTCGATGAACCGGTTGCGCTCGGCGAGGAGCTGGTGCGGATCAAGACCGTGAGGCATGATGCTCGGTACAAGCAGGCGCTGCATACGCGTCGCGAACTGGGCGGGGTCCATGCCCGCGGGGAGGGTGAGGTGCGTGAAGGGGTGAACGTAGGCGTTGTAGGGGTAGATGCCGCTGTCGACCTTGTCTTCCAAGAAGGGGCCCTTCGGGAGCGTCGACGGGTCGACGTCGATCTGGGGCTCGGCGACATCTTCGGTTTTGACCTCGGGTGCGGGGGTGGCAGAGGGTAACCGGGGCGTAGAGGAGGAAGCCTTGTGCAGCTTCGCGGCCGCGTCGACGATCTTGTCCGACAATGCATGGGGCTGGGACTGGCGCTCCAGCTCAGCGATGCCTCTCGGTCCGTGGATCGCGACCTGGTACTCGGGTGGAACTGGAAGGCCCTTGGATACAAATTTGAACGCTTGGATCTGCGCGCGAAGGGTGTTCATCTGATCGGGCGTGAAGGAGACGGGCGTGGCGGGTGAGGGCGCGATAGGGGCGGAGACGCCGTCGGCGCCGTTCAGTGCCCCAAGAAGAGGGTTGGCAGCACCGTTAGGAAGCGGGGTGCCGTTGGGGAGGGCAGCATGCCCGTTGGGAACAGCGTGCGCGGCGGCTGCGGCATCTAAGAACAAAGAAGCACAAGGTGGGGAATCATAGGTCAACCTCACAGATGTACAATGAGCCTAGAAATGTGAAAACATACTCTGAGCCTGGGCGTTGTGCACGGTAGTAAGGAATTTGACTATCTTGTCGAGCTCGGGGGAGGTCTCAGGCGTGTATCCCCGCGCTTTGAGCTGTTGTGCGCGCTGTAGAATGCCATGTGAGAGTTGAGTTCAAAGACCGAAAGGAAAACGGAAGGGAGAGACGCACGGTTACAAGAGACTGAAAGCGCTCTCTGGTTATCATCGGCTGTTGCTGCTGCTGTGCGGGGCGAAAGGACGGCGCCTGCTGGGGCTGCGGTGGGCCCTGGCCTTGAAGGGTCGCCATCGTTGTGGGCGGCGTTGGGCGTGTATTGGACGTTGTGCGTGTCGGTGCTCCGCCACCCGACTCGCGCTCGGCTTGGCTTCACTTCGCGGTCGGTTGTCGCGTCGGTCTCGTGCTGTGAGAGAACAGGGTGAGTCGAGGCGACGCAGAGCCGCCACTGGGCTCCGTCCCAGTTGCTTTGTCATCGGAAGCTATGCGTGGGAGCTTCTTCCGGAGCTGGGCAAGGAGTCTGATCATCCGCAACGACAACGACGCTAGCTGAGCCGCAGCGCTGATTACCACTTTGACTTACACTTAGGGCACCATCGTGCACAAACTTGCCATTGACCTGCAAGTATGGAGCACAGGTCAGTCTCTGTGCGTGCTCCGGAGCTGAATCGCATGCTAACTTGGTCAACTACGCTCGTCAGAGTCCCTCACTGCGGCACTTGTTCTTGTCTGCCTGGCGCAGACGTTCATGACCGGGACGAAGTCGTTGCAGCACTTTCTCCCCAGCGCGTTCAACTACTCGAAGATCTTGAGCGGGAACTCGAGGAACTGCAGAACGGAGCGACGCGCGTTCGCCAGGCCTTGCTTTCCCTTCGCACAGAACACAACCGGTCGCTACCTGTCAATACCCTTCCTACCGAGATACTCTCCGAAATTATGGTCCTTGCTCACTACATCCCACACCTCTACTCGCAATGGTCTCCAGCGTGCGCTCAGGTCTGCACGCTCTGGCGACACGTTGCCTTGGCTGAGACTCCTTCTCTATGGAGCTGTCTAAATGTGTACGACCGTCCGAAGCTTGCTCAGGCTTTATGCAAGCGCTTCCCGACAATTCCTCTTCGCATCGATTACAGCAGATCACTGTATGGGCAGTCAGACAAGCCCCATGCCCCTGCTCACGTGCTCGAGGAGATCATCCTCAAGAATCCCTCCCGAATATTGTCACTCATTGTTTACCCTTCCTATGAAGACAGTATACGAGCATTGAAATGTTTCCAGAATTATGCGCCCGCTCTGGAAAAGCTCGACCTGATTTGTTATTCTGACAGAATACATGTCTCTCCGGGCCAGGAGACGCTCATGAACTGTCTACGCCGGGTTCGCGCCCCAAATCTCCGAAGTCTGACCCTGGATGCCATACCCGCTGATGAACATGTCTGGAATGTCCGCTGGTTCACGTCCTTCAGCCTGAGGCTCCTGAGTATCTCGCAGAGCGCCACCATGCAGCACCCTCAGGCCGGAACCGCATCGCTTCTCAAGGACATCCTGGACGTCCTCGAAGCATGCCCTCTTCTAGAAGTGTTATCGTTGGAAGGCCAGCTCCCCCAGGAGGAGCTTCCGAGTGCGCCCTCCACGCCCCCCAGTCGAAGAGTACATCTTCCCATGCTTCGCGACATCTCGTTCGGCGATACCACAATCGACTGCGTCGCAACGCTGTTCCGGTATCTGCAGCCTGCCTGTCCTGCCACGCTCCGGTGGGATGTCGATGCCACACGTACCACTCATTTCCCCCACATTTGGCACCTCATCCGGCCGCACTGCGCGTCCTCCGAAGTCGACTTGCACGTCGGACAACTTTGCTTCCGGATCATCTGTCCGGTGACCCCAGGACGACAGTGGCCACGCACCGCCATACAGTTCAACGATATGAAACAGCTTCCCGACGCTATCCGCGTCTTTCTCGCGCAACTCAACGTCACCGGGCTCGAACTCGAGGGCCTTGACGATGACCCGTACCCCTCAGAGGTCTTGCAAGCGATCCTGTCCAGTTGCCCCAATGTGCGGAACTTGGAGTTATCGGGCTCGGCGGGAAGCGTCCTCGACGCAATGAGAGATTGGGACGAGTCCGACGGCCACGACGGCCTGCTCCTTCCGCACCTTACTGACCTGCGGCTCGTCATGTGGCGCTCCGCCGCCAGTGAGGCAATGCCGATCCCGTGGTACGGCGAATGTCGAGCCCAGCTGGCGGCAAGGCGCCAATACGCGCTCAGAACGGGCCGCAATATGTCGCCGCGGACGCTGACCTTGGTGCACTGTCGCGGAATAGAGCACGCGGAGATCGAATGGCTGAAAGGCATCGTCCCGGAAGTTCGTGTCATACCAGCTGAGTGAGTGGCATCTTCATCGAACGTGCCGAACTGGCTGAAGCCCAACTACCGACCGGTGTTAATAGCTGAAAGGGGGATCTGATGGTGCGGACGACCTCACTACCAAGGCGGCTTGCCTTCGTCTCTTCGTCTCGCGCGGTCCGTATCACACGCAAAAATCTAACATGATAGTTATCGAGAGTGATCTGTGATTAAGTGCTTCTCAATAGGTAGGTAGAAATGTGCGCACGTGCCGTGAGTTACATAGCATATGTTGGTAACCGTGTATAGTAGTTAACAATGGATCCGAAGTGGAAATGAACATATGTGTCGGATGCTTGGGATTGGCCATCAACTGTGGCCAGCATCGTTGAAGAGCAAGGCGCTCATGCTGCTGGTGTACGTGACGCAACGCGACACGTCCGGCTCCGCTGTGATCCTTTCCGGATCGTCCACTCACCACATTCCAGGGCCCAGCAGGAGATCCGTGTCCCATCGGGCAGTGCCCAGTGACGATGAGTATCTGACGCCTTCGGATGATGAGTAGAATGTTACGTTGGTTCATTGTTTTGCTGTTTCTTCCTTGTTTACTTGTATAATATCCTTCGGTAGCAGCGATATTGGAATTCCGACTCCCCCCGTTATTACTTAGAGGAAGGAGTTGGTTTTTCCGTACCCGCCTCCGTCACAGTGACATCACAGTGACCTCCGCCAAAACGTGATGAAAGCGTGATACTGTGCACCCACCCCTAATGCAACATCGCCCCCTAATGCAACATCGACACAGATCCCTCTCCCGTTCCTTTCCTGCTCAGCCGTTTGTCTCGGAAAAAAATCCATGTACTCTCATACATCTATAAATACTGTATGTAAGAGATGAAGTAGGAGCGAGGCTTGGTTCGGGCTACAGAAAAACATTAGGACTGCTCGAGTGAGTTGATGCAACATGTCGCGAGTACTCCACGGCCCCGCTTCGCTGGATCGGTAACGCAAAATTCATGGAAATATTTTTTAGTACTAAATAGCTTGTATCCTATTTGCTACACCATCCCGATTTGCGATTGCTGTAGTAATGCTGCTGTAGGAGGATGTTCAACACAAAGGACGGTGTTGGCGTGACGGATGAGTTCAAACTCCGCCTGCGTTGATTGGCCTGAGCCGCTTGAGCCCTGCGTTGCGCTGCAGCCTGTCCTAGTTCGGCACCTCGGCAATTCGTGACCGCGTGTGATGATCTCGCAACTTTAGCTGGTGCTCACTTCGTCTCGCCGGCATCTCGCTGGCAGAGTTGAGGCCTAACCAAAATATTTGAGACGCCGAGTGACATATCTATAGCATTCTGGCTATCTACTACCAAAATTTCGGACAATTTTGAGGTGATTTGAGGGAGATATAACCCTAATGCAACACGCGTTGCATTAGGGGTGGATGCACAGTACAGTGATGGTTTCACGCGACGCGTCCAGCGGTACCAGTCGTCTTCTTTTTCATTGACTGTATTACCGTTTCATTCTGTTCTCGTCACAGCTCTCGCGGCAATCTATCAGGTCTATCGGGATAGGGCGCGTTGTACGGCTGCTAACTTACGCAGCAAGTCCGTCATGTCAGACGCGTCGTAGGTGGTCTATGCAGATCTCACACACCTGAATGCGTACTCAATTTCTCGTTGGATTCAGCACGCCGAACTGTCCCTCCTCTGCCCATCCTTTACCTTTTACCTGCCAGGAAGAACGCCAGAGACTTCTTTCCGTGTTCTCTCCTGCACGCATACACCAATACACGCGGCTCGAGCGTGAGCCCGAACGGAATCGAATCGCCCTCTTGAATCTTCGCCTCGAGCATAACACCTCATTACCAGTCAACCGCCTCCCACCCGAGATCTTGTCCTACATAATGGTCGAAGCTGAGAGCGTTGAGGATTTTCATGATTGGCCGGCCGGGTGGAATGTGTCGATACGGACTCCAGCCTGCGTCCAAGTCTGTGCGTTGTGGCGAGAAGTGGCACTGAATACTCCGAGGCTGTGGACCAATTTGGACCTGAGGTGCCCTACTGCATTGGCCTTTTGCGGTCGTTCTTCGAACGCGCGTCTGCGGATCTCGTACACACCAAACTCCAGACCCCGGGCGACCGAAGCTTTCAACGAGCTTATCCTCAAACAGTCACACCGCTTATCCGCGCTACGCGTCAAAGGAACCCAAAGTGTTCTCCATGAGACCCTGAAGCAGCTCCAGGAGAATACACCTGTCCTCGAAACACTCCATATCGTGCGGCCTGTGGAATACAAGGGATCGAAGTTGAAACGAGCCTTCGTCCAATGTCTGCACAAGCTCCACACGCCAAATTTGCGTAGGCTGTGCATGCACGGTATCAGTCATCATTCGCGATGGAGGTCCCCATGGCTCAGATCGCTCAACCTTAGGCGCCTGGAGATGAATTGCGCGCCATGGGGCGAACCGAACGCAAAACCTCCAATTTTGGACGATCTACTCGACACCCTCCAATCATTTCCCCTCCTTGAGCGTCTGTCAATCACTGACAGCCTCCCTGTGGCTATCCCTCCCCAAATACCCTCGGCCATGCCACTCCGAACGGTTCATCTACCAGCGCTTCGTGACGTTACCTGCCATGGCACCATCCCGGGATGCATCACGCTTCTCAGGCACCTGCGTTTTCCTGGGCGTGTTCAACTGCGGGTCGACTGCACAGAAGGAGATATAGCACATTTGCCTCATCTCTGGCCCCTCGTCAAGCCGCATTGTGAGCTGTCTGATGTCAGCGTAGAGATTACGCCAGGCTCCGTTTACGCGTTCTTCGGTACGGCTGGCACCTATATGCTCTTTGAATGTTTCTTCACGGACGGAATGGACATCGTATTCGAAGAATTAGCATCCTCCTGCTTTCCGACGCCGGAGATCTCCAAGCTCACCTTGTGCGCGGACTTACCGGACCGATATCGTGTCTCACGAAACTTGATGCAGGCGGTACTCTCCAACTGCCAGAATGTTCGGCATCTCTCCCTGCGGTGTATGCAGATGACCGTCTCCGTCCTTGATGCGCTGCAATTCGAACACAAACAAGCAGGCCACGTCAAGCTCCTCCCAAAACTGACCCACCTTTCCATCCGCTTGGAGAGTCGTAACATCCGTCGATGGTTCGGCCCATGTCGCGCGGAACTTGCACGGAGGCAGGCCGCATCTCCTCAAGAATGCGTACCCTTCCAAAGCCTCCACATAGATGGGCGAGAACACGTGAACGAGACGAAGATTCGTTGGCTGAAACGTCTGTTGCCGGCATCGCCCGACGCCTTGGTTGTACAGGACTGAGTACGTGCACGTTGCTGTACGTATGATGATAGGCCAATGACAGGTTTCAAAAATGTCGCACAAGCATCGTATGCGTGCTGCCGAAGCTCTCAGAGCCGTGGTGGACATAGCAGGCGCATTTATCCCTGATGTCGTGTTTCTTCGATATAACTACTTAAGTTTAATCAGTGCCGGTCAAAGACTCTATCCTGTATACTATCCCATACCTACTACTAGCAGTACCGTTTTCGCGCCCATAGGTAAGTGGTCGCGAGCAGCACCTTGTATTCGGTCGCTGGGAATCGATCAGGACCGCTCCACGGCCTTGCCATGTCAGACGCTCAGTGAATATTCACATTTCAACGTCGTTGCAGCGGTTTGAGCTTATCTGAGTGCTGGCGTGGCCGAGGACGCATGGGCTCAGGATCAGCCGATGTGGTCAGCACTCCGGAGTAAAATATACATTGCTGTGGTGCCGAAGCATAGTCTCCCCTAGTTTGGCTCTGACAGGCTGTGTGGGCGAGAGCGCAAAGAAGCGGTCGATAAGACGGAGTAAGCGCGCATATATTCACCAGCTCGACCACGACTCAGGGCAGCCAGCGCGTCCGAAGACATGCGAACGTCGCGGACCACCGTGACGGAGGGCGTCGCGGATCGACGTCGACTCTCATGGCCCTGCTTGCTCTTGGGTCTTGCCAGCTTCCGTCGGTCTCTGCGCTTGTCTTCCATGCCTCCCGAGCGGCCGACCACGTCTCCAGAGCCTCTCCTCGAGACCGGGGTATCTCGCACCGGGGCCGCCGGGAACGCCGGAGCCGTCGACCATGGCGAAGAACAAGGCGGGGTGGCGCCTGATTCACAATCGCCGCAACGAACGTCACCGCTTTCAACCTCTGCCCCCGCCACTCTCCCGCACACGATGCTCGCGACGACGGCAACCGTCCGTCCTTCGTCGTCCGACCTCAGTTTCTTCTCCAAGCCCAAGTTCGCCAAGGCCGTCGCGTCCACCTCGACCTCCACCGTGGTCACGCGCGTCGTCCCCGTTCAGCGACCGAAGCCGCCAAAGGGTCACCCCCATGCTCATTCCCCGGCCTCGCGCGGCTCCTCCGTGTCCTCCCTCTCCTCCCTCTCGTCATCCGAGAGCGATGCCTCGCGCGCCCGGTCGGCTGGCCCTGCCGTCACCAAGAAGCGCAAATTGCTCGAGCACGAGCCCGAGCTCGAACGCGTCGAGCCTTCCGCGACCAAGCCGAAGAAACCGCGCCAGATAAAGGAGGGCACACGATTAGGACGTCCACCCAAAGCTCTGAAGAGTATCCCCCGACCCCCTTCGCCTGGACGGATCTACAGGAGCGACCGGTCGCGCTCCACATCTACTTTCCCGGTGGTCGAAGCTCCTATACCGCGACGATGTTGGATAGAGGAAAGCGGGGAGATGGGACAAGAGCTTCTCAGTTCCGCCAAGGCAGTCAGAGGGCTCATGAAGTCGTATAAAGCATGTACGTCCTCGACATCGTCCTCCGAAAAATTGCGAGACTCACGGTTGATCGCGCCGCAGACTTTCACCCGGATCCTAAGAACCCTAAGAGGTTCGAGCCGGATCCGGATAATCCACCTATGGTGACGCTGGAGATGCCGAACAACGGTGCAGTAGAAGAGTGGGTACACCCCCCCTACCTAAGATGGATTCGTCTCAGTGGCTTTTCTCCAGATTCCTACTTCTCCAACCTAAAGATCCAGATCACTATAATCCGATTTTCGACCTCCGTAAAACGCTCGAGACCATCATAGAATGTACGTATGTCTCCCAGATGACCGTCGGGGGCATAGCGCTAAACAAGCATATTCTTCTTTAGCCTACTTAACACCAGCCCAGCAATCATTATTTGGGACCTTACACGACAGCCTCTCTCGCCCAAATACAGATCCTGACGATGACGATATACCTGTCCCTGGCTTGTCGCGATCTCCATCACCAGCCTCAAATGCCACGCCATCCCGCTCCTCCCCACCACATTCCCGCGTGTCGTCCAGCTCCTCACTCTCCTCACTCACATCCATCTCTTCAACCTCCTCATCGCTTTCCTCACTCAGCTCCATATCCGTCACGTCCTCCGCTTTCGAAGCCGATCCCAACGTCGATTATCTAGCTAAGTTGCGGCACGCGCAAAACACCAAGGACGGCGCGACGTACGTGGCCACCCTGCGAGACATCAACCGCATCCTGCGCTCGTTCAAATACCCGCGCCCACCACCCGACTACGACATCTTCGACGACTTGCCGACGAACATCTTCATGGATTCCGTCAAGTCCTGGACGCCCAGCGGGCTCCCGAAGCCGGTCGCGCTGCGCATCATCGAGGAGACGTACCAGCGCGCGGTCGGCCCCCAGATCCCGTCGCTCAGGAAGTACGAAGCGTTCAGCAGCCACGTCTACGGCGAGCTCATGCCCAGCTTCATCTCGGACATCGTCGCCGCGACGCACCTCGGCCCGGACAGCCTCTTCGTCGACCTCGGCGCCGGCGTCGGCAACGTCGTGCTCCAGGCGGCGCTCCAGACGGGCTGCCGCGCGTACGGCATCGAGATCATGCCCGCGCCGGCGCGCATCGCGCGCGCGCAGCTGGAGCAGTTCAGGCTGCGGTGCAAGATGTGGGGCGTGAGCGCGGGCGAGGTGGAGATGGAGGAGGGAGATATGCTCAAGAGCGCGCGGGTGAGCGAGCTGTTGAGCCAGGCGGACGTGGTGCTGGTGAACAATAAGGTGTTCGCCGAGGAACGTGAGTGGACCCTTATTGTGGCCGATCCTCCCCCGGTTTCCTGACGGTGTTTCTAATTTTTTTTCCTTTTTCCTTTTGAAAAGTGAACGAGGCGCTGCGGCCGAAGTTCTTGGACCTGAAGGAAGGCGCCATCCTCGTCTCCTTGAAGCCGTTCGTCTCGTCCCTCAACGCGCGCCTGACGGAACGCAACGTGGACGACATCTCGACCATCTTTGACGTCACCGAGCGCCCGTACCACTCTGGCAGCGTGAGCTGGGGGAGCGGCGGTGGCAGCTACTACCTGCATAGGGTCGACCGCGCGGGGTACGCCAGCATCCGAGAGCGCTTCGAAAAGTCGCGGAGCGCGAGGAGCAGTCGCAGCAGGCGATGAGAGCGTTTGTCGTCCAGCGCTATGGGGGCTTTTGAGGATGTGGTGGTCGTCGTGTTCTGGTATCCTCGATTCACGCTTGAGGGACTCGCTTTAGAGGCACTCACACTCGATACCCATCATCATCTCTATTCATTAACATATCATGACGGTCCCGCGCACGCATTCTGCTGTCGATGTGCATGCTTCAACAGGATTATTTCATCCTCTATTCACTTCTCTCATATCTTTATCCTTGCTTAACTGTAACCGCTCTGTCGTTGCTCTGTCGCCTCGCCGATTGGCTCCCCAGTTGCAGCCCATATCTCTTCTGTTTTCTGTGTTCATATCTGTGTCCGCTTATCTACCAGCGTTGCCCCTTTACACGTTGGGGTGCATAATTTCCTCGGTGTCTCCCGCAGTAGTAGTAGTAGCCCAAGCAGTAGCAAAGCGTTTCATCCATCACTTGCTGTTGTCTCCTCTCGATCGTCGTGTTGCTGGGCAAATATCCGTACACACAAGCAAGCAAGCGAAATACGGCTCAACCCAAGAAGTGCTCGCTCATGCACAGCGTTCAGTAGTTTCCTCCCCACCATCTCTTCACTCTCTCTCCTCCCCACTCCTCGTACTCCGCCCTGGTGACGCCGACGGTCTTGAACTCGTCCGTCTTTGCGTACGCGGCCATGCCCTTCCACGCGTCCAGCGCCGGGTCGGCCGCGCGCACGATCTCAAGTGGCATCTCGGGCGGGAGGATCGGCCGGAGAGAGGCGTGGAGGCGGGGAACCAAACCCGGGAGCTGGGACGGCGATCCGGTAACGAACACGTTCTGACGGGGGAGGGGTGTCAGTCGGCACTGGAGCGCCGCAGAATTTGGCATCTAGATTAGGTACCTTGACGAGCCGGCCTTTCTCGGCCTCGGAGAACCGCGAGAGCACGTTCTGCAGAACTTCGCCCAGCCCTGCCGAGTCTACGCCTGCCATGCTTGGGGAGAACCATGCCTCGGGAACACGCCATCGCTCCGTGTTGAGGTGTATCCGGTACTTCCCTGCAGCGCGAGCTTTAGTCTTACGTCTCTTTGGGCGAGACGGGAAACATACCGATGAGATCTCCCTCTTCATAAACAGGCTTGAACGCGGTGATAAGCGCGGACCGGCGGTTGGTAATCGAGGCGAGGGTATCTTCTACGGTGAAGAGTGGATCATGCTCGAGCAGCTTTGCCTCGACTTCTTGCAGCCGAATGAGATCGTCTTCCTCGTCCGACGACTCAACTTCGGCATTCTGCAGGGATCGTTGATCACTAGAAATAGTCAGGTTATTCCAAGACCACGCACAATCTTTCGATAAATCGCCCAATCCGCATCGTCGGCGCCGAATGTGTCCTCTGATGCATTGCATCAACTGCAGATCGGGTAGCAGGCGGAAGGCGATCTCACCTCCGCCGACTTTGCGCTTCTTCCTGCCAACCTTCTCTTCTGCGGCAAGATTCGCGATGCTCTTCATCCTCGCTTGCGCCGCTGCACTCTTCCTGTCGGTGAGCTCGAGCCTTCTCCTCGCACGGCCCTTCATCTTCGTCACAATCGCCTGTAGTGCAGGTCAGCCAGCACGGAGTGCACGGTTGAATATGGTAGAGACGAACGGCGTGGTCTCGCTTCAGTTTATCGGCCCAACCCGTCAGGTCTCTTTCGCGCTCGTCCCGCTCCCGCTGCTCATCGGCCAGGCGCTCCTCCCGCTCGCGTTCCTTCTCTCGCTTTGCCCGTTGGCGGGCGTCGTACCCTGCCTTCATGAGTTTCTGTTTTCTCTTCTCCTTGATCTGGTCTTCGTCGAGCTGAGAATGCCTTAGTTTGTGCGAACATACAGTCAACATGAAGCAATCCCTACCTCGGCATCAGGTACGTCCACTAATGGGAACGACGGTATTTCTTCCTCCATCTCCTCGCCATTCTCGGCAGTCACCTCCTTCTTTCGGCTTCGCTTCAGATCCCCCTCGAGCTTCTTGATCGTCTGTTCAAAGTGGGCGTCGTCATCGAAGCCTTCGGCTGACAAGGTGTTCTGATGCAGGTCAGGTTGAGTAGATAGCGAGAAGCATCGGTGCCCGCCTACCTGCCAATCTTTCTTGCTTTCCTGCGCACGACGTTCACGCAGGTTTAGCAAATTCTGCAGGTCGGCTTCTTTTTGCACCAACTACGTAGAATTCGGTCATGCATACGAGAACGGGACAAACTCTGGTGAGCACTGACCTTCTCCAAACGCGTTTTCGCAGCAATCTCCTGCAGTTTCTTGCCCTGTTCTCGGCGCCGCTCCGCGATCCTTGCGAGCTCTTCCTCAGACTTCTCCTCCTGTACGGCCACCGTGAAAGGAAACTGGATGACGCGTTCCACCATCGGAGAGCGAAGCTTCAATGGATCCTTGAGGGTGCGGAGAAGCGCCGGATAGTCTGTCGAGAATTCGCAGAATTCACGAAGCATCCACTATGAGACACGCTGTGAGCGATGGGTAACAGGGGAAGCGATGGCGTGACGACGTACATTGGCCTGAGACGAGGTGAGACGGGTGGGGAAGGTGGGGTATTTGAGTTGCAAGAGCTTGAGCAAGTAATCCGTGGCTTGACTCGCTCCCCAGGGAATTCTGTAGCCACAGGACCTCTCGTCAGCGTCAGTAAAGCTTGGGAACATCCCTACTTGCCTTTGAGCATGGCTGAGGATCCCTTTACCTTGAAGGATGGGAATGACACTGGTACTTGCTGTGTTGAATGAAACAGCAATGCCATCGGCCCGGAAAGGGGTGGGCGGGGATGGAATATTGTTCTTGTAAAAGGACATCATTGCGTCCACACAGTATGCGAGAGACGGAACGGAATAGAGCTCGAACATGAGTTCGGACGTCACTACATGATATTCAGCATCATGTTCACGGGTGAGGCAGGATGGACGTACATGCCCTTGAATGCAACGGAGAGCACAAGCGCTCCGTCATCAACACGGGATGGGCGATGGTGTCGGCATCGATACCAAGGTGGATGAACGCATGGTCCAATGCATTCTCCTACTTCTCCGTAGATGTCTTCGGAGTGAGAACGCGACAAACGTTCATGAGATATAGGTGGACTCACCAATGCGTCGAAGTTAAGCAATACGTCCCCCTCCCAAGGCGTTTTCGCCTGGGCTTTCGCTGTGCTCTCCACCTCCACCGCGTCACCGAACAGGAGCACCGGCCTGTTGAACTTGCGCTCTTTGTACTTTGCCACCACATTCGGTCCGCTAAACGGGGTTTCCGCGGTGCAGAAGCCGTAGCGCAGAGTCGTCGAGCCGTTGTCGATGACTAGTGGTGTTCCCTTCCCTCGATATTCGTCGTATGACTGAGGAGTTATGGGTACTGGCGCCGGCGCCGTTGGTGGTGTATACACGTCTCCGGCTTCCATCGTCGAGTATAGTTCCCGTCAAAGAGCAATCCCAGAAGGTCAAGCCAAAGTCTTGGGAACCGCGAAATGAGACCAGGACCTTTTGTAGTGAACGATGTCCTTGAACCCCGTGAACTCTTGCGGTTCTCGCTCTCAAATTAGCGCTGCCGGTATGTGGACTGCACGTTACATCAAACGACCACGTTCAAGACCGGTATAGTACTGCTTTCCACATCACCCATCGTTCAACAAGCTATGTAGTTCTGCGCATCATGTCGACCGGCCACCGCGTCCCCCAGTTAGACCCAAGGTTTCTTTCCCAGCCTAACCTGCTCGCCACTGATGGAGAGTGTCACTGTACCTGCAATGAGTCTCCTTCGGCTTGCCGTCTCTAGATCGTCCCAAGCATCTGATTGGTGATTGAATGTCACCTCGGCGGTACATAATGCCGATTAAGTGAGTCATCAGTTCGTGGAGACTACTAAAAAGCTCGGCGAAGCGCACGACAATTCGACGATCTCTTTCTTCGGCAGTTGTCGCCTTCTATCAAATCTGCTTCGTCAGTCATGTCTTTTGAAGAAGACCAAACCTCGGACTTGAAAGGTGGATACATCTAGCGCCATGCATGTATCAAGCTCATCAACTGGTGTAACAGTTCTCTGGGATCACGCAGTTCTCCTGCACGATCAATACGAAACCTCGAGCGATTTGGCTCGCCTAGAGACTGCCATAGCTGAATACCGTTTGATAGCGGCAGCGCACAATACGGTGGGTTTCAAAGAGTACTGGTCGCTATCGAAAATGCTCACACATACTCATAAACCTGATAGGGTGATGCCACGAGCATGCCATCGTGTCGTCTTGTCTTGTCTGCCTTGAGCCGTGCGCTGATACGTCACTACGAGCGTCTCGGAAATGGCGAGGACATCACGGAGGCGGTGTCTCTCCTGCAAGAAACGCTTCCGTTGACGAAATCGGATACTGAGAGAGCAGACATGCTGATGGACCTGGCGATAGCTTTGCGCGTGGAGTCCGATCTCCCGAACAAAGAATCCGGCCTCGACGAGGCCGTGGCTGTCGGGCGCGAGGCTCTGCTTCTCAGTGTTTCTGACACCCAGCAGCGTGCCAGCGCCCTGATTACCCTCTCACGGGTCGTCGGATCCCTATATCTTCGACGCAGCTCCGAGGAGTATCTGGATGAATGCTTGTCCCTGGCCAACGAAGGTCTGCAAATTGCTGCAGATGACCATCCTCTGCGAGCGCTGGCGTACTACTCGCTCTCTGTGGGCATTTTCTGCAAGGTGGAGAATTCAGGCGTGATTGCGGATCTCGATAAAGGAGAGGAAGCAGCGAAACGCTCGCTGGATCTACGACCGCCCGGGCATCCGGACCGCCACATGAGCTTTCATGCGTTGAGTATCATTGCAGATCTCAGGTTCCATATGACTGGGGATCTGATTGATTTGGACAAAGCCGTTAGCTTTGCAAAGGAAGTCGTCGCTCTGCGTCCTGTGGGCCATCCCGCGCGTGCAGCGATACTTACGAACCTTGCTGGACAGGCATTGTCGCGCTGGCAACGCTCGGATGACGTTGCCGACTTGGAGTCCGCCTTGAAATATGGCCGGGATGCGGTCGCTCTACAGCCCGAAATCAATACGTCTCGCTCCGTCGCTTTGAATAATTTGGCCGAGGTCCTACGATTGCGCTATCGGCGACTAGGAAATGCTCATCTCGATGATCTCGACGAGTCCATCCTCCTGCTAAGAGAAGTGAGTTTTGGAATGAGTACACGCTGATGGGATTGGCATTGGCATTGACAAAGTTTCAACGCAGGCTAGCTCCATGGTCAACCCAGGTCATTGGTCCTGGACCGGATCACTCAACAATCTCAGCGCCGCCCTGAAGGACCGCTACGAGCAAAGGGGGGACCCTGCTGATCTCGAAGAGATGGTGAAGCTGGCGCGGGACTCCGTGACGCACGCGGAACCAGGCGAACATCTGCGCGGGGATAACATTTACAACTTGGCTGATGCGCTTCGTCTCCGATTCGAGCGCTTTGAGAATGTGGAGGATCTAAACGAGGCGATCGAACTGCTCCGGTCAATTCAGCGACCCGTCGACCATCCTACTCGTGCCAACGACCTTGTATTTCTCGGCGGAAGCTTGTTCAGTCGATATCAAAAGCAACATGAACGCGCAGATCTGGATCAAGCTATTGCCGTGCTCCAACAAGCAATGAGCTCCTGCGAGCGGAAAGACATCCTTGTGTATGCGCTACGCTGGCTTGCACAGGCTCAGGCAACGCGAGCGATACACTTCCCCAGCCCTGACGGTGTAGAGGTTGCGAGGGCTGTGTTCGATCGCGCCCTCCAGCACCATCCTACGGGTCATAGCGAACGTATGGAGTGCTTGTTCGCCCGTGCGGAGTTCGAAGTGCAGCTGGAGAATGACGACTCTCGTCTGCTAGCGCTGAACCTGGCGTACGAAGCGATCAACGACAACAACGCGCACCCGCAGCAGAGGCTCACACGAGCATTCCAGCTCTTCGAACGCCTGAGAGAACCAACGTTGGCTAGTTTGCGCAGCGACTCCGATCTTTCATCCCGAGTGATCGATATCTACGGCGCCGCCGTCGAGATGTTGCCTAAAGTCGCCTACTTCGGTATGGGAATCGACTCCCGCCTTCGAGCGCTCGGTCGCGCAGGAGCGATGTGTCCGGACGTCGTGGCTTATGCAGGTCCATGCTCTCGCATGAATAGGGCCCTAGAGATTCTCGAAGCAAGTCGGACAGTATTCTGGACGCAAGCTCTGCGACTCCGCACCTCCTTCGACAACTTACCCATAGACATCCGGGAAGAGTTATCATCGCTGTCTCGACAGCTTGAGAGGGGGAGTTTTATAACATCCACGGGGAGTAGTGCACTCAGTCGACCATTACTGGACGAACACGAACAAGTCCAACGCAGGAAAGACACCGAGCGGCTGAACAGCCTGATGGAACAAACACGATGCACGCCTGGCTTCGAGCGATGTCTACTGCACGATGAATTTTCGACGCTTGCAGAGGCCGCCTCGCAAGGTCCCATTGTCGTCCTTGTTTCCAGCCCCCTCTCCTGTGACGCAATCGTCTTACCGAATCCAGGAAGCATCCTTCGCGTGGCCTTGCCTTCAGTGACTGAAGGGTGGCTCCAACAATCTAGCATTGCCTGGCGGACTAGTACCGCCAGAGCGCGAGGTCAACTACGTGATGATAGGTTGTTGTTGATGAAGCGACCTGTAACATGCGGCTCCAGAGAAAAGCTGATCAAGGTGGAAAATGCAATCCTCGCAGAACTCTGGGTCAGGGTCGTGGAGCCAATCATTCGAGAACTTAAATTACGGGTGCGTTGGCCAGTTGTTAGGATGTAGAAAGTTCGTTACTTACGGGAATGCTGCTTTGAAATAGAAAGCAACAGGTCGCGACCGACCACGATTGTGGTGGTGCTGCAGCGGCGCGTTCTCGTTTCTTCCGGTGCATGCTGCGACCACACAGAGCGAATCTTGCTTCGACTACGTGGTCTCGTCCTATGTTCCGAGCTTGGGGACATTACTGACCACCCGCAGGACGGCGGAACCCTTGCTCCCCAACGAAGCAAGGGTTCTCCTCGCTGCAGAGCCCTCTCCTCTAGAAGCACAGATGGTTACTCTCCCTCATGCAGCGGAAGAGATCGAGAGAGTTATCTCGATTCTGCCATGTGGTACTTCTGCAGTCCTGCCGTCACCGACCGAGGGTACCGCGGCGACTCAACGAGGAGGTACGACGGTCCAGGAACTCCTGGACAGCCTACCGGACGCAAATATCCTCCACCTCGCCTGTCATGGCTCGCAACGCCAAGGAAATCCCCTGGAGAGCGCATTTCATCTGCGCGACGGCTCGCTCAGTATTGCTCAGATTATGCAGGTACCTTTACCCCGGGCGTTTCTGGCATTCTTGAGCGCATGCGAGACCGCCAAGGGAGACACCATGTATGCGGAACAGGGGATACATCTCGGAGCTGCGATGTTGTTCGCGGGATTCAAGTCGGTGGTCGGCACCATGTGGTATGGCTCCTTGCTTCCAGCGACAGTAGGGTCTGTCTCATACCTTCATACAGGAGTATGGATGATGTCGACGGTCCGATCGTCGCCGAAACGGTCTACAAACATTTGTTCGCAAGCAAATCTGAGCACCTGGATCCAAATGTCATACCGTATTCGCTGGATGCGGCCATAGGGACGTTACGAGAGGAGGGTGCTCCACCGCACCGATGGGCTACGTACGTCCATCTAGGCATGTAACAGATCCAACTTGTAGAGTTATAGCGCACCAGTGCCAGGGTTATGACAATTTCATCTATATCTTCTTCATTCTATGACATGCAGGCTTCGATAACCAGGGCCTACATACTGCTAACAGCAAGAGTCGTTGTTGGCGATTGTTACTTTGCAATGTGCACGAACGAAGCTACACTGCCGAATAGGGGTAAGCCATTTACGGCAAAGACGTGTGAGAACGGTCGCGTTCTCCGGAATTTGAAACGTGAGGTTTACTTACGCGTCTGTTAGTCATTTTCTTCCTCCACTCGCCTGAGCTTGATCTGTGCGGTTGCACCAGATCAAGTCAACGTTTCTGTCCGCAGGAGAAACCCTGCAAACGTGTTGGTCGCGAGGTGGCCTCGTTGCCACCTGCACAGTGCATGTGGCGGGCGGTTGCTGGGCACGTGCCGAGGCGAACCGCGTTCGCGTTTTGGAGTCAGACGCGTCTACTACCTCTACCTGCAATCACTGCTAGCACTGTCGCTCGGCGCTACCACGCAGCCATGAGCTCCTCAGGGGAAGATTTTGACCTCGAGGTCTCCGCTTCCGACTCTGAAGGTTACACGCCCATCAAGAAGAAACCCGTATGCTGCTTGTGTGGAGGTACATCTCGGAGGGTGCTTACCGTGACTATAGGCGAAGACAGCACCGAAAGCCGCGTCAAAACCTGCTCCCAAGGCCAAGGCAACCTCCAAACCGGCCGCGAAACCGAAGGCTGCCCCGAAGAAGAAACCTCTTTCCGATATGGATACGAACGCGGAAGAGAGCATGGCTATCGACAATGATTCAGACGATGAGAAGCCATCGACATCGGCAGTAATTGCGCCTCCTAAGAAGAACAAGACAGCGTCGGAAATGTATCAGAAGGTACGTGCCACTATATGCGTTCTGTCGGTGTTCTCACAACCCGCATAGCTCTCGCAACTCGAACACATCTTGAAACGACCGGACTCCTATATAGGCAGCGTTGAAGCCGTTCGCCAGGCAATGTGGGTGTATGACTCAGACAGCAATCGCATGGTGAATCGCGAAGTGAAGTTTGTGCCGGGTTTCTTCAAGATTGTGGATGAGATCCTCGTTAACGCGGCTGACAACAAGGTGAGGTGGGAAACCCTTCTATGTTGGCGTATCTAAAGCGTTTAACAGATCAACGATCCTAACATGGACACACTTAAAGTGAATATCGATGTCGAGGAAGGCACCATCTCCGTTTACAACAACGGGAAGGGTATTCCCATCGAGATCCATTCAAAGGAGAAGATATACATCCCTGAGCTCATCTTCGGTCATCTCTTGTCGTCTTCAAACTATGATGACGACGAGAAGAAGCTGACGGGTGGTCGTAACGGTTACGGCGCGAAGCTTGCCAATATCTACTCTCACGAGTTCACCGTCGAGACGGCCGACAAGAACATGGGCAAGAAGTACAAACAGACTTGGACCGACAATATGGGAAAGGTCGGGAAGGCCAAGATCACGAGCGGTAACCAAGAGTACACGAAAGTCACCTTCAAGCCAGACTTCGAGCGTTTCGGCATGGACGGTATTGACGATGACACGCTCTCCCTGCTGAAGCGTCGCGTATACGATCTTGCCGGAACCGTCAAAAATGTCAAGGTACGAAGATGCCCCCGTTTACCATGATACGACACATGCTGAACACCGCTTAGGTCTATCTCAACGACAAGCAGCTGAAGATCAAGAACTTCAAGCAATATGTCGAGATGTACCTGAACTCCGTGGCCGAACATGCCTCAGAGACTTCGGGCGGTGCGGCACAAGCAAAGTCAACCGTAATCTACGAACAGATCAATCCCCGCTTTGAAGTGGCATTCGCACTCTCGGACACAGGGAACTTCCAGCAGGTTTCGTTCGCTAATTCAATCGCTACTACGAAGGGAGGCAGACACGTCGATCTTGTGGCCGACCAGATCGCCAAGAACCTCCTGACTCAGATCGAGAAGAAGAACAAAGGTGCGAAGGTCAAGCCAGCGACGATCAAGAACCACATGTGGATATTCGTGAATGCGTTGGTGGAGAACCCTACGTTCGACAGTCAGACGAAGGATACACTTACCTTGGCTGCCAACAAGTTCGGCACGAAGCCTGTCGTATCCGAGGACTTCATGAAGAAGAGTGCGTGATGGGATCTTCGCTATATATGCCTTATCTAATCAACTTGCAGTCGCGAAATCATCTATCATCGACCACGTCCTGAACTGGGCGCAATTCCAAGCTGATAAGCAGGCGAAGAAGACCGATGGTTCTAAGCGTAGTCGGTACGTTGCCTACTACTCCTTTACCTGTGCATTGGCTCAACCGAAGCTCACACGGCAGCCTTACGGGCCTGCCCAAGTTGTCCGACGCTAACAATGCCGGTGGCCGCAATGCGAAAGACTGCACGCTCATCCTTACTGAAGGAGACTCCGCCAAGGCTCTGGCCGTTGCCGGTCTCAGTGTAGTCGGCCGTGATAACTTCGGTGTCTTTCCCTTGCGAGGTAAACTCTTGAACGTTCGCGAAGCCAGGCACGACCAAGTCATGAAGAACGAGGAGATTCAGAACATTAAGAAAATCATGGGATTGCAACATAACAAGGAATATGCGGACAGGTCCAGCTTGCGTTATGGCCAGCTGATGATAATGACGGATCAAGTTGGTCTCGGGCCTCCTCAGACGGTTGTCATTTGCTAATCAGGCGGATTAGGATCACGATGGCTCTCACATCAAGGGTCTATTGATCAACTACCTCGACCATTTCTATCCCTCATTGCTCAAGATCCCGAACTTCTTGGTCGAGTTCGTTACGCCCATCGTCAGGGTCACGAAGGGCAAGGAGCGCAAAGACTTCTTCACCATCCCGGAATACGAGAGATGGCTGGAGAATACGCCCGATTCGCACAAGTGGGAGTCGAAGTACTACAAGGTCCGTCCGTTCTATTTCACGCTCGCTGTAATCACCGTTGACGCTGGCTACAGGGTCTCGGTACAAGCAAGGATTCGGACGCCATGGATTACTTCAGCCACATGGAGAAGCACATGATACCGTTTGCAACGACTCAAGACGGTGACCGCGAGCTCATCGACCTTGCGTTCAGCAAGAAGAAGGCGGACGATCGTAAAGAATGGCTTCGGCAGTGCAGGGTACGTTCCATGCTGCGCATTAGATGAAGCCTCGTTCGTTCACACCACTGCCTCAGCCTGGAACGTATTTGAATCACGACGTGGATGAGATCCCGTACTCGGACTTCATCAACAAAGAACTCATCCTGTTCTCCATGGCGGACAACATTCGGTCAATCCCGTCCGTTGCGGATGGTCTGAAGCCAGGTCAACGCAAGGTTATTTGGGGATGCTTCAGGCGCAAGCTCAAGAAGGAAATCAAGGTATGCATTGCCCTTGCATGTGCCAGAACCCGCCCGTTGATGGGCGAACACTAGGTCGCCCAACTTGTGGGCTACATCGCCGAGCACGCCGCGTACCACCACGGCGAGCAGTCTCTCATGGCCACCATCGTCAACCTTGCGCAGGACTACGTCGGCAGCAATAACCTCAACTTGCTCATGCCGAACGGTCAGTACGGTACGCGCGAACAGGGCGGAAAGGACCACGCCTCGGCTCGATACATCTTCACCGAGCCATCGCCGATCGCGCGCGCGATCTTCCACCAACAGGACGACCCGCTGCTGAACTACCTCAAGGACGACAACGACCCGATCGAGCCGGAATGGTATATGCCCGTGCTCCCGCTCGTGCTCATCAACGGCGCGGAGGGTATCGGCACCGGCTGGAGCACGAGCATCCCGAGCTACAATCCGGTGGACATCGTCGAGAACATCAGGAGGCTCATGCGCGGGGAGGAGATGGTGCCGATGATGCCTTGGTGGCGCGGCTTCCGCGGGACGGTGAAGAAGGTGTCGGAGAACAGGTTCGACGTGACGGGCGTCATCAGAAAGAAGGACGAGACGACGATCGAGATCACCGAGCTGCCGATCCACAAGTGGACGCAGAACTATAAGGCAGAGTTGGAGGCGATGATTGGGGAGAAGGGCGACGGATTGATCAAGGTTTGAATAAACGTTCCCTTCCGCTCGCGTGAGCGCTGTGTCTGACATTCTAATCGCGGTTGCAGGACTACAAGGAGCACCACAACAACATCAACGTGCACTTTGTGATCAACACGACCGCGAAGGACATGGAAAAGATCGAGAAGGAGAAGGGCGGGCTCGAGGAGTACTTCAAGATGACGACGAAGATCAACACGAGCAACATGATCTGCTTCGACTTTGAGGGCAAGATCCGGAAATATAACACCCCAGAGGAGATCATCGAGGAGTTCTACCCCATGAGGCTCGCGTACTACCAGAAGCGGAAGGTTTGTCGCTTTGTCGTCGAGGTGCTGGCGACTATTGGGTCACTGAAACGTGTGACGTGCACCAGGACTTCATGGCGAACGAGCTGCAGCTCCAGTTCGAGAAACTGTCCAACCAAGCGCGGTTCGTGCAGATGATCGTCGACCGGGAGTTGAGCGTGTCCAACCGGAAGAAGGCGGACATCGTCGCCGAGCTGCGGAAGCGCGAGTTCAGGCCGTTCCCGAAGGTGGCAAAGGCGAAGGCGGCGGGGGAGAACGCCGAGGTGGTGGAGGACGCGGACGAGTTGGAGGAAGTCGAGCGCGAGGCGCAGGCGACGGGCGCTGGGAGCGACTACGATTACCTGTTGGGTATGCCGATCTACGCGCTGACGAAGGAAAAGGTATGTCAATGGACGCTCTGAGGCTCCAGACAGACCTCGATTGCTGATCGGGTTCCGTCGCTGGTTAGATCGAGAAACTTCGGCAGCAAATGGGCGACAAGGAGGCGGAGCTGTTGACGCTGTTGGAGCGCACGCCCATCGAGATCTGGAACGAGGATCTGGACAAGTTCCTCGAGGAGCTGAGCGTGAGTTGGCCGTGTTTGCTAGCCAAATCTATCTGACCCCTAATTGGACGCGCAGCGCAACAACGAGGAATGGGAGCGCAAGGGCGAGGTGGACGCGAGCGGGAAGAAGGTGAAGAAGAAGCAGGGCGCGAAGCTGCGCACACGCAAGTCCCTGCCTGGTCCGGGCAAGCGTAAGGGCGACGACGACGATTCGGAGGATGACTGGAAGCCGACGAAGGCTAAAGCTGCCGAGTCGAAGCCGAAACCCGGGACGATCGCGGCGATGATGGAGAAGAGGAAGGAGAAGAATGCAGCCGCGAGTGGGAGCGGGGTGAAGAAGGAGGATAAGGAGGCGAAGAAGGAGGAGGACGATGACGACGAGCCGGTGGTAGTGCCGACGAAGAGGGCGACGACGAAGAAGAAGCCGGCGTATGTGGAGGCGGACGAAGATAGCGATATCGAGATGATGGACGTCAAACCTAAGACTGCGTCGAAGCCGGCTCCCAAGGCGAAGAAGGCGGTGAAGGAGGAGAGCGACGACGAGGATGTGAAGCCGCCGAGCGGAGGAAGGAAAGGAAAGGCGAAAGCTAAGGAGGAAAGCGATGATGATGATGGCGACTTTGCGCTCGGCGAGAGCAAGAAGGTGACAGCCGGCGCTAAAGCTAAAGGCAAGCGGAAGAGGTGTGTTCGTCCCCCAGTTTGCTGGAGCGTGAACTAACGAGAGCGTTCCTTCCAGCGTCGGGTCGGAAGAGGAGGAATCGGACGCATATGTGAAGCCTGCACCTAAGAAGGCGAAGGCGACACTGAATGATTTCTTCGACGACCCACCGGCCAAGGCCAAAGCTCCGACCGCCCGCAAGGCCTCCGGGACATCCAAGGTTGCAGCGATGAAGTCAAAAGCGTCCTCGTCACCTACACAATCGAAACCCAAGTCGAAGGCGGCCCCGGTTAAGAAGGCACCGGCGAAGAAGAAAGCCGTCGTGAGCGACGATGATGACGACGACGATATACCCGTCGTCGTTGCTGCCCGGACGGAGGCACCGAAGAGGACGGCGAGAGCGGCTGCAAAGAAGGCGACGTATGTGGACATCCTTTCGGATGAGGACGACGGCGGAGCGGACGACTCGCTGTTCCATGACGATGACTAGACTCGTTTTCTGTCTCTTCTTCCTGTTTCCTGACGCCCACCTTCTTCGTTCTTCGACATGCATGTAGGCATAATCTATCGCACAGTTATGTTTATTTCCGATGTTCGTGTATGTGTGGCTCACGCCGAAGTTGTGATCGACGGGTGAGACACTCGGTGGTACATGGGCCACGTTGGCCTCCTCGTTGAAATAACATACGACATTTCATGTTCGGTTTCTGTCCATTCCTTCCAACTCCTCGACGCGTCTTCATTATGCGCTTTACCTATTGTAGGCGTTGCCATTGTCGCCCGGAACGCGGAGCCAATTATGGCGGCGCGAGAACGCGGCCACGTGGGAAGTCAGTCCAGCGTGAGCGGCCCTCGGTTTGACGACGACGACGACGCTGGCCACAGTCGCTGGCCACCGTGCCTCTGCTACAAAACCTAGGCAGAGCCGCACCTCCGCTCCTTTCTACAGACCACGATGGCTGCGCCCCGCCAGCCCCCGCCGCGGCTGCACATCCCGCCCCACCTCGCCGCCCAGCAGCCCCCGCCCATGTTCTCCCCCGCCTTGCCGACCGCCATCCAGCAGTTCCCCGGCCCAGGCGGATTTCCACTCCAGACGCCGATGCAGGTCAGCTTCTTTCCCAACGGTCCGCCAGGCGCGCCAGTGCGCCCGGGCAACCTCTCGCACAAGGCGCGAGCAAGCATCGCGCACCTCGCCGCCGCCGGCATCATGCCGCCCCCGGGCGTGCCGATGACCCCCGGCGTGCCTATGACACCCCTTGGCGGCGCGTTTCCTGGAGGGCCGCCGTTTGCGGGGAGGAATAGGAGGGCGCCGAGCATCAGCATCGGAGGGCCGCCGAAGGCTGCGTTGGGAGGACCGGGCAAGAAGCACGAACCCTTGCCCGTCCTGCAGCAGGTAGCGCAGGCCGTCGCGCCCCCACCGAAGCAGAAGAAGGTCGTTGTCAACATCCCGAAGGAAACGGTCAAGGACGAGGACGCGGAAGGAGCAGAGCCGTCCACGAGCACCCGGCCCAGCTTCGCACGAACGCCGATTCCGACGAAGGACTTGCCCGCGCAAGTGGAAGTACCTGGTCCCGACCTTTTCACCGCCGAGGAGCGCGATAACGACGCGTGGCGATACTCAGTACCGGATACAGTGGACGTGTTCCTTCCCGGACGGGTGCGAGCTTTTGCTGTTCACTGACGCCTTCATCTCTGATAGTAGTACGATACAGAGCGCGTGGATAGAGCTAAAGAATAAAGTTGTGGAGGAGAAGCTGGAAAAGATGGGGATAGAGAAAGGTTCAAGCAATATGAGCCCGAGCATCACGTCCTCCATACCGCACATCCACGCGCCTCACGCGCGCGCCGCGTCGGTGCGTACCTTCTCTATACCTGCCCTTTTACTCCTCGCGTTATACTCCGCCACGTTTTGCATGTCCGAGATCATCGCCTCGCCGCGCGGCAAACACGTGTCGGGCAGCTTCTTTCGCTTCCGTTGACGCCGACGCACAAAATGAATTGACGCGCCTCTCTCTTTTTTGTTTGCCCCCCTTCCAGATTTCCTCCCCCGCAGACCCGGCACTGCTCCTCTTCAAGCTCACCAAGCTTCAACAAGCGCAAGCGTCCGCTCCCGTCTCCGCCGAGCACTCGACCTCCGCGTCCCCTCAAGCCCCCTCATTCATCCCATCCTCTGTGTCCCCAGGCCTCCCTCCCCGTTTTCAGGCGCAAAACTTACCCCTGAACCCCGCCCGCCCCGGCCACGCCCACAGCCAGTCGCTCGCGTCCGGCCCGGTGTTCTACAACCCGAACGCGGCGTTCAACCCCTTCGGCCCCCACGCCACCCTCGGCTCGGACCAGATTGTGCGCCGCCCTCCTTCGGCGAGCGTCTCCCCGGAGCCTTCCGCGTCTACGCCACCCGTCGCCGCATCGCAGCCACTGCAGGCGCGAGGGTTCAACCTTCAGGCCCCGGTATTTGCGCCCCTGGGTCGTGTACCTCCCGCTGTTCTTGGATCGCTCGGCGGTGGACTGAAAGCCCCGTCGCCCGCTCCGCCCGCTTCGAGACCCGAGAGTCGCCCCGATTTTGCGAGAGGGTTCGGATTGGACATTCCGGAGGAGGAAGAGCCGCCGGAAGAGCCTTTGGAATCGCAACAGGTGGATCAACCGGAGGAGGTGATAGACTTGGACACGTCCCAGGAGATCGAGATTCCCGCAGAAGGTCTTTCTGCCGTGAAAGACTTTGCACCTCAGCAGCAAGAATTCGTAGAGCAAGAAGGAGGAGAACCGGAGGAGCAAGATCAGGAACAGGAACAGGACGGATTCGGATTCGGATATCCAGAGACTATACCCGAGGAAGGCGAGACGACGGAAGAGATGGATATCCGTACGGCGCAGCAGAGCCGCATGCATTCGCGGCACGTGTCGAAATTGTCGGCGGCGTTGTCGTTGAGGTCGGTTGGAGGCGTCGATGGACGGCTTGCGGCCAGGAATGGGGCGGGTGAGATGAACGCGATCCATGATGGAGATACGCAGGTTGGGGACGAGGATGGAGAGAGGGATGAAGTCGGAGAGAGGGATACGGATGCCGTGGCTGAGTGGACGGGAAGCGAAGATATGAGGATTGAGAGCGACGATGAGGTCTGTTGTTTTTATCTCATCTTATCGCCGTGCTTCTCCCGGCGTGCTTGCTTCGCGTTTCTTTCTTGCTTCATGTTCGCGCACTTCCGCGTGGCTGTTCACACTTCACTCCATGCACCTGCTTTCATTCGTGAGGCTGACGTGTATGGTCTGCACAGGGCTCTCTCGGAGACTTCTCCAACCCATCCGACGAAGAGCGAGCGCGCCAAGAAAGGATGCACCGGCGCATGATGCGCCGTGGCTCGCAGGAGCAGCCCCGTCGTCTTCCGAATTTCCCCCGCCCGCCGGAGAACACGATGGCCTTCCCGCACCCGCATACCCACATCGCCGTGCAGCAGATACACCAGAGGCGAGCGACGACGGACGACGACATCGTTTCCAACCCCTCGCTCGAGGACGCGCACCACCACGACCAGGATGGCTACCTCGGCGTCGGCGAGGGCAACACTTTCTTCCAGCGAAGCTTCAGCAGCCTGAGCGGGAAGGGCCGGCCGCTCCCTCCGCTCCCGCACTCGCGCGCGGCGAGCACACAGTGGAGCATGCACGATCCAGCTCTCGCGCACTCTCGCCAGAGCAGCGAGCAGTACGGCACCCCGACGCCGCCGATCGCCCAGCCGCAGCCGCAGCACGCGCCGTCCACGTCGTTCAAGTCGCTCAACCCGAACGCGCCCGCGTTCGAGTTCAAGTTTGGCGGGCCGTCCAAACTCTCTTCGTTTGGGTCGAGCTCGTCCGCGGCGCTGCCTGCCATCGTGCATTCGTCCCAACCGTCGTCGTCGGGCGGCCACGAACGTAGCTCTTCGTTCGGCAAACCTCTCAATGTCGCCGCACCAGAATTCAAGCCCGGCAACTTCACCTTCCGACCGCCCGCCGGCGCTCCCCAGATTTCGTTCGAGGCACAGTCCCTGGAAGTGCAGAGGTCGCCCGCGGCGCGGCCGCTGCCGACCCCTCCCGTTGCGCACCTTGAGTCGCAGTATGCGCCCACTCGAGCGGAGCAAGGCAGGGAGAAACGGCAACGTCGCGCGTCGTACGATTCGCTCGACGACGACGAGAACGTCGGCAACATCTCCATGCAGAGCTTCCGCTTCCCGCCCGCGTCGGTGTCGGAGAGCCCGGAGAGGGTTCGTCGCCCCGATTCGGCTCCGACGAGCCCGAGCGAGCGCCAGGGCCACGAGCGGAGGAAGAGCTCGCTCAACGCGGCCGCGCCGCCGTTCACTTTCTCAGGCTTCTCCGGTATCCGTCAGTACATCAGGGATGAGGAGCAAGATAAGGAGAACGTGCCACCGGTTGACGCGCGTCACGACGAGGACGAGGAGGATGCGGTGCAGGAGCAGGAAGAAAGGGAGCAGCTGGCCAACGACGCGGACGACGAGAGTATGCCGGCGGATATGACGACAAGGGCCGAGGCCGGGGACGACAGCGAGTACGTCACGGAAGAATTACCCATTCCACCGCAGTTCAAGCCTAAGCGCGCACCGATACCGCTGGACTTCAAGCATCCTGTGTCTACTAACACCGTCCCGGCGTCGCGATTCAAGGCGTTGGCGAACGGCAACCGGTCCCGCCGAGGCAGTCGCGACGTGTTCGATCACACACCCAAGCCTTCGCTCGACGACTTCAGCGTTGTTGGCATTTCGAAGAAGAAGAGCAGAAGCCACCTGGGCATGACGGAGGACGACGCGGAAGCGTCGATGTCCATCGCGCGGTCGCCCAACACGCCCATTTACCCGCCGAGCCCGCCGAAACCACTTCGTCGCTCATCCTTGCCTACGCATAGTGCGACGTCCTCTGGCTCCGGTTCCAGCTCGTCGATTTCGGAGAAAGACGAGCAGAAGAGGCTGCAGGATCTCAAGCGTTATGAGCGCCGTCTCGCAGACTTGCTGAACGAGAAGATGGATGCGATACGGAGTGACATCGCCGCTCACAGCCGCGCATCGGCTGGCGGCATCGACGCTTCTACGCAATCCATGATCGCGGAGGTGGTTTCCCTCTTCCGTGCTCAGCTCCAGGAATCGGCTGCTCGCAGTCTTGATGACATCCAAACCAACGCTCGCGCCGAGTTTGACTTCCAGATGATCAAAGATATCATCGACCAGGGGCACGCCGAATCTCGTGCGATGCTGCAGCACGATCTTGCTGAGGTTATCCAGAGGATCGACTATCAGCAACGTGAGACTGGCTCGCATCTGATCCCGCTCGTGCAGGACGTCGGCAAGCGGACGATTGAAGCTACCATTCGCGCCTCCACCCAGCTCGGCCAGCACTTGGAGAGCATTGTTCAACAATCACCTTTGACGTCGGCGATGGAGAGGGAGAACATCACTATGGAGATCGTGTCTGCCTTACACCCCCACCTTGCCTCTATGCGCAGCGAGCCTATAGACTATGACGGACTCACAGCGAGGCTGACTCAAGCCGTGAAACCCCATATATCTCAGCTCATCGACTTAGCTTCCGACAAGCGGGAGACCGCCGAGCTCATCGTCAACGCGTTGCGCCCCCTCCTCCCCAGGCCCACCGCGACGCCACCGCCACTTAACATCGATGCTCTCAAGGCCGAACTTGGTGCGGAAGTCCGGAAGATCGTCTCAGGTCTCGATGCCCACGAGATAAAGGAACAAGTATCGGATCTGGTTGTCGAGCGTCTCGATTCTCGTCTCGCCGTCAGGGACCGCGCGCTCAACGTTGACAGCATCGCGACGAAAGTATCGGACGCGGTTGCTGCGCTACAGGGGCCGATTAAGGATGTCCAGGTTGCGTTGAGTACCGTATCTGAGGGTCACCAATCGTTGGCTTCTCAGTCACAAACCCTTGCGTCGGTGAAGGATGATATCCTTGCTCTGCTGTCTGATCTGCCCAAGCAACTGACCAATGCCGCGGATGCCCTGAAGTCGGCGCAGGCGGAAGTCATCGCCAAGGCCGAAAAATCCGACGCCGATCCGCAGACTCTGGAAGCCATTCATACTCTGGAAAAGTCGGTGCAGCACCTCCACAACAACCAGCGCACGCTTTCCTCCCAAAACGAAGAGCTCCTTGGCATGCATCACGAGACGATCAACAGTATGAATGCATTGCCAGATGTTTTGGTGTCCGCTGTCAAGGTCCTCGAAGGCGCTCATGCCGATTTATTGTCCCGGGACAGCGTTTACAAGCGCGACTTGGACGAGGTCCGCAAGATCATGGGCACGAACGCCGAGCTACAGGCCCAGCTCGCCAAGGCTCGAAGCGCACATGGCTCGGTCAGGGTCGAGAAGGATGCGCTGAACGAGCGTCTGTTGGCCGCAGAAGCCGACCGCGACCGCTTCCGCGCGCAAGTGGAAGAAAAGAACGCTGCTGCCTCCGCGCGGGCCTCCGAGAACGCTGCTTTGGCGAGTCGCAACAAAGAGCTCGAGGCGGCGCTTGCCGAGGCACTCACCCGGGTCAAGGCCTCGGAGGAATCCGCTCAAACACAGAAGGGTCGCATCGCTGAACTCGAGAGGCAAGGCAAGGAGTTGGGTGCCGACAAACAGCAATTGAAAGCCAAGGTGGGATCCGCTAGGCGTTACTTCTCTTCGTGTGCTGATGGCTTTCTCAGATCGACTCGATGGACGTTCAAAACAAGCTTCTCGCTCGCGATAAGGACGCCCTTGAGAAAGATCTCAAGCAGCTACAAGACGAGCGTGAGCGTCTGCTACCTAGCCAAGACCAGTGGGACAATCTGCGCCGGGCCTCGGAGCAGATCGAAGCGCTCGCAAGCCTTGTCAGGCAAGCTGACGAAGAGGAGGTCAAGGAGCTTCGTCGTGTCAAAGAGCGCAACGACAAGCTGGAAGCCGACTATGCGGCGCTGCAGAAGCGTTACAAGGACCAGGACGGACGTGTCGCGAACGCCGAGCGTGCGACGTTCACTGCCCGCCAGAATCTACAGCAAGCGCAACAACGTGCGGCAGAATGGGAGAAGCGGGCCAAGGACTATGAAACAGAAGTCGACGCCCTGCGGAATCAGCTGGAAGATGCGGAGCAGGCCCGCGCACAGCTTGAGACAGATCACTCTCTGGCGAAGCTACAATTGGAAGAAAAGGATGCTCACGACAGGCTGTCCAGGGTAAGCTGGCATACACGAAGAGGTGGTCCGATGCTTATTCTTCTTTCAGGATCGCGAAAGCAAGCTACGCGATCAAGTCGCCGCGCTCGAGCAGCGTCTTGCGCGCATGCAGGTTGAACTGGACGAGGTGCAGAAATCTACCGCTCCCGCGACCCCTAAGCTATCCAATGGCAAGGTCAACGGGATCACGTACGCCACCCCTCGTCCTGGATCTCGCGCAAGCACCGTCTACGGCCAAAACGGGCTCACGACTCCGACCTCGAACGGGCGTCCGTCCTCCCGCGCATCCACTGCTCGTTCGGCCACGCCGCCCGCGTACCAACAATCTGTCCGGGACTCGATTCATGCTCCCAAGAGGTATCCTAGTAATTTAGGCATTGCGACACCGCAAGCTCGGAGACCACACCTTGCTCCTCAATATCAACGTTCTGTGGCGTCGCCAACTCCGAGCGTTGTGTCGAACGCACCGACTCTTGGTGACGATGGCTGGTGGGCGTAACCGACACCCATCGACCATATATTCGTAGACTCTCCGGCTATAGGTTCCCCTTGTCTGTCTTCCTTTGCTCGGGCACTTCCTGTCCTTATCCATCCATGTTTTCCCGGCTTCGTCTCGGTTACTCTGCTTTAATCATAATTCTTGGTTTCGTCTCCCTTCTATGTCGTCTACCTGCATCTTTGTTCGCCCTCTAGCAACTTAATCGTCGTCGGAACATGAACCATACCCTTCACACATCATGTTATTACATTGTACACTCCGTGCAACCAATTCACTACTGTAACGGATCGTAGACGTCTTCGTCCGGGAGCGAGGCAGAACAAAAAACTCGGCGGTGCGCGCGGCTCGGGTCCCATAAATCGCTGAACGGACGCAAATAGTCATTCGATTCGTGGTAGGTGATTGTAGCGAGGACGACGGTCTCTGCTTCCTGCCCCGGGGCGTTACTACTATATAGCTCTAAGCGTGGCGGGGGGCTATGTGGTCGCGCGGGCGGGCCAGATGAAGGACCGGACGGCGTCCACGGCCTGGTCCGGGTCGGCGGGGAGGCTGAGCTTGGGCGTCCACTGGTCGTTGACGAGCTCGAAGAAGCGCGGGACGTGCTTCGCGCCGGCCTCTTCGCGCTTGCGCCGGTCCTCGCGTTGCGCGTCCTCGACGGCGGACTTGGCGCGCGTGGCGGCTTCCATATCTTTCAGCTGGATCGCGCGCGTGAGGTCGGCCCATAACCTGGCGAGATGGGGAGGGAACGCGCGCGAGGGGGCGCCGATGAGCCAAAAGTGAAGGGAGAGAGGAAAAAAGCGGGTAGCGCGCGTTTACCGTCGAGACTCGTTCGGCTCCTGCTCTTCCTCCGGCGCGACGTTCTTCCGTGCGAGGTTCTTGCCGTCTTTTTGCACGTCGAACAGCACCCGGCTGTCGCCGCCCTGCGTACGGTTTGGCGGGGCTGAATCAGTCTTCTGACGTGCCACGGAGCGAGGGAGCACAGAGACGCGCGACGAGGAAATATATACGTACCTTGGTCGGCTTGAACTCCATGACGTGACTCCACTTCCCGCTGATGGTCCCGATCTCGGTGTTGTTGTGCCGGACTTTGCCGCCGATGGCGTTGTAGGTGCCGGAGAAATAGCCCTGAAAAAAAAAAGGGGGGTGCGTAAGGACAATGAGGACGGGATTACTCTTGAACAGCAGGGTGCACGATTTCGTACCTTCGTTTTGAACTCGATGTCGGCATATAACCCGAGCTTGTCGTTCCGCGCCGTGCAGGTGTCGCCAAGCTCGAGGACCATCTTCCCAAAGAGAATGCCGCGCGCGTACATGTTCGGCATCGAGATCACGTAGGCTATACATACGCGGGTTTGTCAGTGTCAGAAAACTCAGAAAACGGTCTCAGACCGCGAACGTCGGACTACGGGTGACGATGAATATATGGAGACACGTACGGCCGTCGTCCGGTCGGTCGAGGAGGTAGACGCGGTTCTCGCCGTCCATGATGGTCGAGACGGAGTTGCCGAGAAAGCGCGATTTGGGTCGGAGTTCGCCGACGACGGAGACTTTTTTAGCGGGCGAGGTGTAGAAGAACGCGGAGATGGGCGGATGGTGCGAGACCTGCTCGGCGATGTAAAAGCCCTGGGTGCCGTCCGGGTAGTCGTACGAGCACCGGAAGAACTCGCCGAGGACGGGGTTATATCTGATGGAGATGGCGTCGGCCACTTGGGAAACGCGCGGGAAAAGAGAGAGGAGTGGGGGGGGAGGGAGGGACGTACGGCTTCTTTACGCCTTTGGGCTTGATGTGCCAGCCCGCGAGGTAGTACTGCAGCACCCGGAGGAAACGCTCTTCGGGATCCGTCACCTTTTCTGCACTGTCTGGATGTGATCAGAGGCGAGGAAGGAACCGAGGAAAAGCGAAAGCGCGCACCCGAAGAGGAGATCTGGATGGGCCATGAAGTCCGTGATGCGCTCGAGCATGCTCCGAGGCTCGAGAACGAAGGTGGGGAACGTCACTTTGGACAGGTCCATGCCGACCCTGGACCGCGATCAGTCGAACGTTACATTCCGCTCCTTCGCGTAGGGAGATCTTTTTGCGCACCGAAGCTGCGAGATCATGGAGGTGATGATCGAGCCTTCCTGCTCATCGCTGTAGGGCGCGTTCGCGGGGACGCTGAGAGTGAGCACGGACATGGCAAAGAGGTGGGTGAACAGGGGGGGAGGGAGGGGGGTACGCACAGGACGGAGGTATCGTCTTCCTCGGTGTCTGAGGGCAGCTTGTCCTCCATGGAGGAACCTCGTGGCCGTTTCACCTGGTTGAAAATGCCCATCATGCGTGGATCGTGAGGGAGGGGTGGGTGAACGTGAATGTGGAACGCCGTTCGGTGGGTGGTGGTGATGTTTATGCGTTGGCCCGCGATTTAGTCGCGGAGATGGCTGTTAACGGTACTGTGTGCGCTTCTTCGCCGCGCAAAGCGATGCACAGGCGGGATCAAAAGGCGATCGGGGCGTGCGCAGTGGGCCGCAGTATACGAGTAGACGGCAGCGCAAGCGTGTACGCGTAGCGAGCAAGAGCAGGACGAAGAGGAAGGATAGGAGGAGGACGCAGCGGTGGTCGGCGGCAGGCTGTCCGGGCGCCCTACGTCAGCAGCAGGCAGGAGCGCGCTGCGTACGGCATCGTGCACACGCTATATTATTCACCGCCTTTCCGCGATGGAACGACGAGAGATGGCGTAAACATGGGGTGACAATTCTACGGCCTGTCCGTACAACGAATCTACGATTCTATCCTTGAACAAACCCCTGAGAGTGCGCTGCGACACCAAAGCAAGCAGATATTTAACATGCGGATTAGAACGTGATCTTCGTGGGAGCGGAGGGGGCGGGTATGTCGTCCCGGAAGAAGTCGCCGTACACGCTGTGCGATTTCTGTAACAGCGCGGGGGGAGGCGCGTCAGCGTCTCTGCGTCGGTCGACGGCAACGCCGAGTCGGACGGACCTTCTTGATCGTCATCGGGAACTTGTTCAAGCCGGGCGCCTCGAACCCGCTCTCGCGCAAGACGCGGGCGAGCTCGCCGGCGAGCGCGCGCTCGTGCCCGTCGCCGGTGAAGTACGTGATCGACTTGCCGGTCTTCCCGCCGCGACCTGCCGACGGAAACAAAAAAGTAAAACAGGGCCGTGAACACGCCGTTCTCCCGTAAAAAAAAAACGCGCCGGAAGCACGCGGAGCCAAACGCGATTGTGTGTGTGTTTTTACGTACCCGTCCGTCCGATACGATGGATGTAGTCCTCGATCGTGAGCGGGAACGTGTAGTTGACGACCGCGTTCACGTTGGGTATGTCGAGCCCGCGCGCGGCGACGTCCGTCGCGACGAGCACGCCGTGCTCGCCGTCCTTGAAGCGCGCGAGCGCGTCCATCCGCGCCTGCTGCGACATGTCGCCGTGCAGCGCGCCGACGGCGTACCCCTTCGAGCGCAGGAACGACTCCACGCGCGCGGCCTCCTTCTTGTAAAGCGCGAAGACGAGCACGCGCGCGTCCGCGGACGTGCTCTTCTTCGGGTGCTTGAGCTGCCGGAGCGTGTCGAGCAGGCGGCCGCTGCGGTTGGTTGACGTTTCGTTTCAGTCGCCGGTCTCGTTTTCGAGACGAAAGGGAGGGAGAAAAATGCGGGCCACGCACTCTTTCGACCGCGCGTCGTCGAAGACCTCGACGACCTGCTCGACGCGGCTGTTCGCGGTCAGGTCGTCGCTCCCGACCGTGATCCGCACCGGGTCGCGCTGGAACGTCGCCGCGAGGCGGCGCACGGACTCGGGCCACGTCGCGCTGACTGTTTTTTTCCGTTCGCGCGTGTCGAGTCAGCGACACAGATCCCGGAGCGTGGGCGCGAGCGCGAGCGAAAAGGATGGGGACGTACACATGAGCGTCTGCCGGTTCGTGCCTTGCTTCGCGTACCCGATGATCTCGCGAATATCGTTCTCGAAGCCCTTGTCGAGCATCCGGTCCGCTTCGTCCAGGACGAGATAGTTGACCCTGCCATCAACGTGGAGCGTCAGCGCGATGGCACCCCCCCCCCCCCAAAGATCCTGTGTGTAACGCTCACTGGCTGAGATCGCACGCGCCCTCTTGGACGAGGTCCTTGATCCGCCCGGGCGTGCCGACGACGATCCGCGTCGTCTTTCCGCCCTTGTTCGCGCTCCGGAGCAGCTTGATCTGCGGGCCCTTGTCGAGCCCGCCGACGAGCGCGACGGACGCGATCCCGAACGGCGCGCCGAGCGCGGTGAGCGTGTCGTGCGTCTGGATCGCGAGCTCGCGCGTCGGCGCCAGGACGAGCACGGTCACCGTCGCCGGAGGCGCCATCGATTGCGATTTTTTCGAGGGGGCAGGGGGTGGGGGAGGCGAGGTGACGAGGCGCGAGAGGGCCGGGAGACCGAAAGCGAGGGTCTTGCCGCTACGTGTATAGGAACGATGTGAGGGTTTCGGCGTAGAGGAAGGGAGGGAGGGCGCGCTCGTAGGCTTACCTGCCGGTCTCGGCGATACCGACGACGTCTCTGCCCTCCAGCGCGGGAGGCCAAGCGTAGGCCTGGATTGGCGTGGGCTCTTTGAACCCGTCCAGGGCGGTTCGCAGGTCATCCGGGATGGCGCACTGGTCGAACGAGAGGACGGGGGTGACGGAGCCATGCACGGTGACGGCGTGTTTGGTCCGGAAGGCGGCGATCTCCGCTTCAGAGGGCACGGACGAGACGGTAGGCGCCGCGGAGGGGATGGAGGCGTCCTTCTTCAATTTCTTGTCCTTCTTCGGTTTCTTCTCCGCAGAAGTTGGCGGCTGGTCGTCGTCAGGCGCGGGGAGAGTGGAGGTGCTGGGCGTCGGCCCGTCGTTTGCCTCCGACTTTTTGCTCTTTTTCTCTTTTTTCTTCTTCTCCTTCTTGGGCGGTATCTCGCCAGACGACGACTTCTCGGGGACAGCCGAGGGGCTCGCGACGTTGTCCATATCTGCATCCTCATCCTGGGGAGCAGGGACGTCGTCGTCCACGGCTTTCTCCCTCTTCTCCCTCTTCTCCTTCTTCTTTTTCTTCTTTTCGGGTTCAGAGGAGGCAACGTCGGCAGGAACGGAAGATAGCCCTTCGGTGCTATGTTTGCGCTTTCTCTCCCTCTTTCCCTGGGATACACCCTGCTCCTCTGATGGTACTACGGTCAGCCAGGAGACTCGTCAATCGGCGTATAACTTCACGACTAACGTGCAACCTCCACGGTCTTCACTTTCTTATCCTTCTTCTTCTTCTTCTCCTTGAGATGGGGAGGCTCGGAGACGTTCTCTACGATCGCCATGCTGCGCGTATTAAACCAAGGGCAAGCGGTTACAAGCGTCTTGTCCCCGGCAGAAATTCTGGTCCTGAGAGGATGAAGGGGCCCCAATTCACTGGATCACGCGACTGGCATGCTCGATCAAGATGCTCCAAGCTCGCACTGCCGGCCAGGGCGATGCGCAGTCCCCGGCGGCGGCGCATTACGACCTGGCCCTATTTCTGCCACTCGGTCTCATGCAGGGCAGGCTGTACTAACTCTGTACTTTTTTCCTCGCAACTTGGACCATCGTAACTTGATCTACCACCACCACCACCACCACCATGTTTCGGTCCGCGGCCTCGAAGCTCGCGCACAACTCGACGTTGCCGAGCCTGGGCGGCAACAAGGACCTGCGACCGCTTCAGGACCTCATCACGGCCGAAAAGGCGATCCTGCAGTCGTACGTGCATCTGCCAAAGGCCAATCCCCGCGAAATCACGTTGGGCGTCGCGAGCTGACCAGGCGGCGGGCAGGCTGATACGACTCAGCAACGACTTCGCGAAGGCGTCGGAGTGCCTCCGAAGCTGGGGCATGGGCGAGGGAGAGGATCTCGCCGTACGTGCATTCTTTTTTTATGATTCTCGTGGCTCCCCGTCCGGAAGGATAATCGAAAGTTCGTCGCGATGCGGACCCCACACAGGACACCCTGAACGCATCCTACATCCTCCTCTCGCATTTCTCCGCCGCCCTCGGCCAGTTCGCCACGCACGAAGAGAACATCCGTACGCACATGAAGGCCGTCCGCACGCGCGAGGAAAACCTCGACCTGCTCAAGCGCCACCGCCGCTCGGTCGGCTCCAAGGCCGACGCGGCCGAGAAGAAGCTCGCCAAGATGTCGCCCGAGCACAAAAGTCTTGCCGCGCAGATGGAGCTGCTCAAGACGCTCCAGGACGAGATGCGCAAGCTTGATGGGGACATCATGCGCGAGGAGGCCGCGCTCGGCGACTTTAAGCGTCAGAGCGCGAAGGAGTGGATGACGCTCAAGTTCGGCGGTCTGCTCGAGTGCGCGCAGAAGGGCACTGTCAGTGACGTTCTTTACCCCTGACTCCCGCTTTCGCCTCTCCCCCTCGACCGTTTCCCCCCTTGTCGCGCAATGCTGATATTGTGTGGGGCCCACCCGCATTAGATCGTCGGCGAGATGGGCAAACTCGTCATCGCCGAAATCCCGCAAGACAGCACGCAGCCTGGCCTTCCCCGTGCATACTATCAAGGTCAGGCCCGGACCGAGTCCTACGTGAACGAGGCGAACCGGAATGTCGCCTTCGTTGCCTTCAACGGCGAGCCCGCCGCAAACGCGCAAGACGCGCTCCGCCCGCCTTTCCACCCCGGCCACCAGCCCGAGTTTTCCACGGCATCTTCCAGCTTCGCCAACGGCAGCGGCGTGCCTCCGACGCATGAATACGAGCCCTCGCAACCCTCGCCGAGCGCCGCGCGGGACGACGACGCACGTTTCCCCGGCCTGCGCCCGATCGAGTCCGAGCCCGGCTTCGGTTCAGGCTCCTTCATGAGCGGGATCAACAACGGCACGGGTCCTTCATGCCCCGTTCCCATCGTCGATGAATTTGGCTCCGTATCCGGCGGCGGTCCCGGCGCGCCCTACTCGCAGACGCTACCTGGCTCCTCCTTCCGCACCAGCAGCGTCGATGCCGACGGCGGCACACCGATCATGGAAGTGCAGCCCTCGCAGCCTCGCGCCGGCGCACGCGCTGGAAACCGCTTCGCGACCTTCCCCGTCAAGCGGCCGACGATGGACGTCCGCCCCTCCGATCCTGAAGCGAATGCTCCCCGCCGGCCCTCGGTCGCCGACACCTACCGCGACTCGGGCATCTCCGGCCCGCGTGCCATGTCCCCACCGTCACCGTCGGCGCCCGTCATCGACGAAGCAGGAGGCGCGCGCCCGCTCTCGCTGCACGACCCGACGCTCTCCTCCCTCCCCGCCGTCTCGCTCGGGCTTAGCCTCCCGTCGAGCGGCGGCGGCGGCGGCTCCGGCGACACCTCCCTCTCGTCCTCGATCGCGCAGGCCATGGGCGGCGACTTCGGCGCCGGCCTCGACCGCGCGGACACGCTCAGCCGCCCGCCGGCGTACGCGGCCACCGACGGGCGCACGTACGACCCGCCGCCCGGCCCGCCCCCGGGCCACGTCGGCTCCGGATCCGGATCCGGGTCGGCGCATACCAGTCCCACGACGGGCTCGTTCGGGTCTGCCACCGTCAGCTCGCCGGGGCTGCCCCCCGGCGCGGCGCCGCCCAAGGCGATGACGGCGCCCCCGCCCCCGGGCTCCGCCGACGCGTCCTCGTACGAGCCGACGCCCTACGACGGCGGCTACGCCCCGTCTGTGCCCGCACCACAGCTGGACCTGCCGACGCCCTCGACGCAGCCGACCCCGATCGCGGAGGTGCCCGAACCCGAGCCCGAGAGCCGAGAACACGGCGGGGAGTCGCAGCTGGCGTACATGTCCGACCCGGAGGAGCATTCGCAGCAGCAGCAGCAGCAACATCAGCAGCAACCCCCCGCGCCGGCGCCGCTGAGCTTGGGGCGGAGCAAGAGCCGACGGGACGAGCGGGACGAGCACGGCCAGCGCGTGTCGCGGCACGTCAAATTCGGCGAGGTGAGCGACATTGACGAGGAGATGGAGCATCGCGAGATGGGCCGCCGGAGCCGGGAGCAGCTCCGGGTGGACGCGGACGCCAACGATGCGGACGCCCCGCTCGGTGCGTATTTCTGCCTTCATGATTCCACGCATCCTACTCACTCTACGTTGATGCGCATAGGGACGCCGGCGGAGCCTACGCCCACCGGTCCCCCACCGCCATTTCAGCCTCAAGCGTCCCCGCCGCGCGCAGCGGTGCGGCGGGTGC